TTGATTTCCTGTTCATTCATAGTCTCAGAATGTCACCACGTTACGTCTGTGCAATTTAAAATTCAGTGAAGAAGACTTGTTATGTTGTAAAAAGCACTTATTTTAATGAAAAATATTTTCAAAATATCATGGTCCTTTCAAACAATCATTTAACATTAATTTGCTTCAGTCACCATTAACTGAATGAAAGGTATATTGAGGCAACAAGTCATGCATAGTAATCTCTTTAATCCAGGCTGTAGATTCTGCAGATTCAAAGCAACATAGAATTATGTAAAACGACTACACAATTTGAGTATTTTTAAAATTCTACACATGATCTAGGCTCCAGAAATTGTCTAATCTTCACAAAAACTTTGTGCAAATAGAATTTGTTTTAAAAATCCTGGATCCTAAAAGAACAGATTTTCTGAATTTTGTCAGTTAATCAATCTAAATGTTATGGTCTAGTAGACTATGCAAATCTGTGACCCATTTGAGCAGCTCAGCTGCATAGTAACTGGGGACCGTTAAAGTTAGCTTTTACTAATTTCACCATAAATATCTGGATTTTTTCAGTGTCAGTCGATTGATAATAAGCCTTTTTTTCCTGAAAAAAAATGTTTTTTAGCTGCCGGATGAACATTCATTGCAATCCTGCTGATTGGAAATCGCGTGCCCACGGGTGATTTTTGAATCTGCAATGAGTACAGCATCGTACATACAGCCGTAATGTGCTTCAGGATGTATTTTTTATTTAACACCAGAATTGCTCATATTTGTTACATGCGATCTGTGAAGAAGCGGGCTGATTTTGTGCTGGAAAAAATTGTGGTATACTCTGGCTACCTTTACTATGGGAAAAACAAAATCAGTGTTTTTTAAATTATTTACCTTCTAAGTCTCCAATTGCCTCTCTCCATTTGAATTCCTCTCATTTTTTGAATGCAAAATAGACCTAAAAAACCTGATAAAAAAAGTATCTGGGTTTTTATTGTGTAGATAAAAGCAGCCTTCAATGGTCTTTAAAAGGAACACACAGGTCATTTCAAATCACACATCCTCACTAGCATCACAACTACCAATTCACCTCAAGGCATTAACTTTTCTCACCAAAATCAAATTACATTCCTTTTATAACTGCATTTATCATATAGTTTGTGTGAAAAATGATTTACTCACATACTGTATGGTAGGAGCTCTAAATGTAAAATATTATACATCATTAGATCAACACAAAAGCTTCACAAAGAAAATTGGATCTCATCCTTCTAGAATAGCTTCCCTGATATCTTCTGAATGCAGTGTCAAGCAATTTCTTAAATTAGTCCAAAATCCAGGCCTAATCATCCTTCCATTTGTTAATTACCCATTGTGTAAAGGCATACTTCCAAGCAACTGACCTGAAAGTTCATTTTACACCATTGCCCTCTTGTTTGTCTGCCTTAGAATAAATTATTCTGGATTTACTTTTTCAATCCATTTAGTATCTTATATACATAAGATGTCTCCTTTCAGCTAATCCATTTGTTCCTCATAACTCATACCGCTAAATTGGAATCATCTTTACTGCTCTGCACTGCCTGTAAAGCCTGGGCAGCCCCTTTGGATTTTTACTGGGAAATATTCAAGCACAGACACATAAAAAATTGAAATAAAGATAAACAAAGTGTTCAAAATGGTCATAATATTAATTGCTAGAAATCATTAATAATGATAATCTGACCCAGAGGATGCCAGTAATTTGTTTAAGATGAAGATACAAGTTTATGGGAAATATCAATACAACTATTAGCTCAATAGCAAGCAGGAAATTAAACCTTGGTTCAAAACGTTTTGAAATGTTTAAGATGTTGTACTCATTATTAACATTTGCAAAATCATCAAAAATTATCTTTGCGGAAATTATCTTTTTAACTAATGAAATGGCTTATCCCACATTGGGCAACAGGGAGAAAGGTTTACCTGGGATTAAGGTGTGAAGGAGCAAGTTATTGTTCGCGAGCATAACTAAACTTTGCTTGTGAATGAGTCCCTGTCTTCTGTTAGGATATGCTATCTCATTTCCCTGTGGGTTGTTCTCTCAATGGGTCACAGTCTATCTTTGGGTCCATCATTCTGTCTGCATCATGAATCTTTTCTGTGAGTCACTCCCCCTCTGACTTGCAAATTGTGTCACACACTCACTTACTCTTTCCTTTCTCTGTTCCCTCATAATCTGACTCTTCCCGTTTCACACAGCCATTACTGTCTGTTCCCTCTCACTCTCCTAGCTCCCACTGTCACACTCACACTTATCCCATGCCCCACACTCCCCATCATCTTTCATCCCTTGCACTTATCTTCTCCTCCTCCCTTTCCTCTCTTTTTTTACAATCAGAGAGAATATCTTTTTATCCTGGGTGAGAATTTGTTTTGAAACAGAAACATTTTAAATTTTCTGTGCTGAAATGTGGAACTGAGCAAGAAAGCAACAGACATTTTGATTGTTTGGTCTTTCTCTAGAAATCAGGACTAATAAGTGTATTAGTGACAATCAAAATACCAAAAAAAAGTGTATTCAGTTGAAAATATCAAAGGATTTATAAAGAAATACATCATGGTTGACATTTGTCAAGCTTGTGGGCTTGTGTCTGTCACAGTCTCTTCACACAGCTGTAACAGAATAATATGATATAAATTGGACTGTTTTTGATTACTCCACTTCCTCCCACGATTAAACCCACTAGGCGAAAGCTTGGGAAATATCTAGTTTCTGTGATGCTGCATAGGGTTTCACTATAATTACTATTTGCTATGTTACTCTTTTGTGCTACAAGAGGCATTGAAATGATGTTTAAAGCTATGCAGGCAGATACGGTGAAATAACCATTATTAGACACAGAACATCCAATTATGTTGGTGATAGATTTAATAATAGGTTTATGATTAAGATGCACCTCAGTCACTATGTATCACAAATGTCACCCATTTAAAGCTATCAGCCATTCAGATAAGGAAATTCAGTCTTATAAATTACAAACTGAACAAAAGCATTTAAAGTAAGAACATCACCACAAACAGAGCAATATACATTTTAAATCAAATCACGTAACCAATTCAAAATTCATAGATGCCAACAGAACAAAAATAATTGGAAAATGTTGATAAATTGTTGCTCGAAACACTGCCTTAGAGAGAAGAGCAAATAGTAATCCAGGGTAGCATATAAACAGTATTTGATTCATCAAGTCCTCCTGAGATTTCTCCACATAAACTATGTTCTGATCCTGCTCACTTCTTATACCTTTTTGAATGTTCTTCTTTTTCAAGCATCTATCTAATTCCCTTTTAAAATAATTTGAAAGATGGCTATTTACTATGATCTCCACTAAAATAAAATCAAACTAGTGCATATCAGCAGTTACAAATTCCAATTTAACCAAATAAACCAAATTAGAAAAAAACATTACAAAAATGGTTGAGTGCAACTCTCTCAAGTGCATGGACCAGCTCACTCATCACTGACCAAGTCCGAACAATGTGACTCAACAACAAATCAAGCAGGATGATTCATTACATTCCAGGGCAGACAAAAGGATGGCATTCTTAGCGCAAATGGCAATTAACAGCTGTAATGGATTACTGGGAAATTTGGTTGAGGCAGGGACACTAGAGATACTGAACACATTAAGTACAAGTGCAAAACATAAAAATTGATGAAGTGTCTAATATTTGACTGGCCAGCCAACTGTGCACAGAAGGAACATGGCAGATGAGGTGAATGTCTTCCACATCCACAGGTTTGAGGATGGGTTAGATACACAGCTGACCAAAACAGCCGATTAGTACAGCTTTTTAGACATAGAAAGTTCTATTTTCTTCATACGTACATGATACTGTTCACAATTTTAGCTTTATTCTTTCTGTTAAGCTATGCAATTGCTTTGCACCTCATACTGTCATGCTGTCAGTCACATAACTGGCATATTTGGCACCTTCTTTTTATGTTGGGGAGAGACAACCAATTTTTGGCTGTTATATAATATGACCGGATTGTACCCATATATCCACTGAAAACATCTGAAGCCATAAATGCCACCTTAAGTCTGTGTTCTTTAAACCATCTAGTGGCAAAATAACTTTGGGGCTACTGTGGTACATATCATCTGAAGGACCAGACCAGTTTGTCTTCTATTACAGCAGGATGCCATCTGGTGGAACAACCTCAGAGTCCAACACCATCAGTTACATGGAGAGAGCAATCTCAGCTTTGTGGTCAGAAATAAACTGTTCACCTAAATGTTTTTGCTTCCATATACAATGCATAGATCAACCAAATTAAAATTTTGTTTTAAAAAATTAAACAAAATGTTACAGTAACAATGATAACAGGCACTATTTGGCAAGTGTTTCTAAATTATCAAAATCTTCAAATAAATAAAATGCCACAATGAATTATACTTTCAACATTTTAAAATAGTTTCAACAACAAATACTGATAACCTCATTAAACCACCAAGCTGAGAATTGAGAAGGTATTGATGAGTCAATCAGTCAGCAAGTAGATAACAAATTGGAAGGGGGGGTTGGTGGGTGAGAGTAATAATTCAGGATATATGGAAATCTCCTGATCCAATGTGTGACTTCATGCAAAGATTGGTACCGGTTTTGCTAATTGTGAAAGCTGCCAGTTAATCATTAAGCAATCTTTCTAATAGGGCTGTGGGGAGTATAAACAATAACACTCCACAACTTCAGATTTTAGTAACTGTATATTTTGGATCAGAAAACCCAGAATTACACATAGTCTGAACAATGAAATTATATTTTAAATCAGTTCAAATAACTACTGTATTTCATACATTTGCCAACAATAACTTTACATGGAATACACTTCAGTATTCTATAACATTTACTGTGTGAGCCATCAGAGAAAGTCTAAAACATGACAATTAAAAATGTTCAGATAAATGTGATTATCTTTTATTCCTTCACTTGATTCCCTTTTTTTGTTTTCTCTTCTGAAATAAAACTCCTACCTGTAGGGATCTCAGATAACATTTCCAGAGCCATATGCATATATTTACGGCAAATTGGCTGAGGGTCATCAAGCAGCTTAGAGAGTGGCTGAATTACATCATGTTTGAGAAATGCAAACCTAAAGAGATTCAAAGAGAAAATACTTCACAAACTTTGAGAATGAACAGTTTGCATTAGCATTGCCAAAAAACAAACATATCTTAAATTTTTGCTAATTCTTCACAAAATAATGCTGCAAAATAATGACATCTGTTTGCATTTGCAATACTCATAATGTAATCAATAAATACAAACTGAACTACCTATATACCTTAAAACGCAAAATATTACAGATGCTGGAAATCTGAAACAAAAACAGAAGTCGCTGGGAAGTGGGAACTTCCCAGCCACTTCGGTTTTTGTTACCTATATACCTCAGTACTTTGCCAAGAACATGAGACCACTTACATTAAACACATTTTTTTTATAAAACCAAAATATTATATTATATATAATATTATATATTATATTCCTTGACAGAAGTAAATTTTCTTAAAAACCTAAATGGCATTCAACAATAGTAAAAGTATGGATAATTGGGATGAGCATTTTGATCAACTTATCACATGCATTTGAAGCTAGATACTTAGAAGACACTGAAATGATATCAAGCAGTATAACAACTTATCCCCACTTCTTACCACAGCAATTCATTAACAATTAAGCAATTAACAGGATCTTATATATGGGGAAGGGGGCAGACCTGACGAGACGAGACTGAGCCTGGACTAAGGCTGGACCATAAACGCATTCTCTCTGAGGTTACCGATCCTTTGTTTTCTTCTGTAGGTTTTCATTGTTTGATTTTTATTAAACTGGAATGTGCTTGCTAGATGATTCTTGTCTTGCGTTCGTGATAATTAAACACAACTAGATCAACTCACCCAAGCTGCTATCTTACCTGCCAATACTATGTGTGACCAAAACATAGAGAATTTCTGTGGTCTTGTGACGGACAGTACTGTCTTCATCTTCCAGCAGAGTTTTCAGATTCTTTAAGCAGCCTAATGAAAGAAAAAAGCGTTAATTATCCAATATTTACTTCCTAAAGTTTTAAAATGAAAATAAATGCAGCTAGTTGTGTATTTATAATATCATGATACAAAAGAATAATGACTGTGTAAGCCTGAAAATTTCCCTTTATCTGGAATGGTGTGCGGACTCTCTCCCTGCAGACACATTGCCTGCTTACCAAATTCTATGCCGCAAATTGGTAAGAGCCTATGTTTGGGGACTGCAGAGAGTGTGTTGGGTACTGCTGGAGTTTAACCAACTAAAGCTGTACGGATTGCCATTGTGAAACTATCTGTAAAGCTTTCAACTGCTTGTCTAGCTAAGACATCCTACGTATTGACAACAACAAATTAAGGCTTGTACTTACAGGGTTAACAGAAGCCAAGTGGGTTGAAGCCCTACCCCCAGTGACCTGTCTGCCCTATCTTGTCCTGCTAATGAGCCAGACTGGCTGCTCTGTACCAACATTAAGTTGGAGAACTTCATGAATCAGACAACTGAGATCACCACAGAGGATCATCGATTCCAATATTCCATTGCCAGGCACGTCACCTTGGGACCACCTCAGCCCAAAGAACCCTGCTTATCTCCCAAATGTTCTGACGAAAGGTCTTCAACCTAAAACGTTAACTCACTTTCCTCTCTCCATTGATGCTACCTGACCCCATACTTCATTTTTATTTCAGATTTCCATCATCTGCAGTATTTTGCCTTTTTTTTTAACCTCCTAAATCAGACATGGCTTCTCCTCCAGCCCCGTACCATCTTATGCAGTGTTCCTCAGGGCTATGTCCTCAGTCCTCACCTCTTCAACCTGTACATGCTCCCGCTTGGTGACATCATCTGCAGACAAGGGGTCAACTTCCACACGTAGCTGGATGACACCCAATTCTATCTCTCTGCCTCCACCCTCGACTCCAGGACCACTGATGTCCCGACAGAATGTCTGTCAGACATCAATTCCTGGATGAGAGTTAACTTTCTACAGTTCAACGTCAGCAAGACCAAGATTTTCCTGATTGGCTCGCGCCAGCGCCTCTGCACCTCAGGCACTGGCAGTATCAGCATCCACGGATGCACACTCCACCTCAATGAGCCAGTCAGGCATCCTGTGCAACCCTCAACTATCCTTCCACCCCACATCCGTGCCATGATCCACTCTGCCTTCCCCCAACTCCGCAAGATCGCCCGGCTCCGCCACTGCCTCACTTCTCAGGCCACCAAAATCCTCATGCATGCCTTCACGACATCCAGGCTCGACTATGCCAACGGCCTTCCCAACACTTCCCGCCACAAGCTGCAGATCATCCAGAACTCAGTTCATGACCTCTCCCGTACCAAGCTCCATGACCCCAACACACTGACCCTCGCCCGGCCGGCTCCACTCGCTCCCCATCCCTCAGAAGATCGAATTCAAAATTTTGGTCCTCACCTTTAAGGCCATCCATGCCCTTTACCTCTTCTACCTGCTAATCCCTTATCAACCTGTCCGCTCCCTCCACTCAGCAGGCTCCGGCCTGCTCCATGGCCCCCGCAAGGCCCGCCCCACCTCTCTGTCACCACCACTTCAGTCTCTCTGTCCCCACCCTCTGGAACTCCATCCCACATTCCCTTCACCTCACTCCCTCCCTTGCCTCCTTGAGGGCACACCTCAAGACCCTACTCTTCGACCGAGCCTTTGGCCACCCTCCTACCTTCTCTGCCCTCCACCCTCCCTGATCCCCAACCCACTCCTAATCCCTGATTGTTCAGCGCCTTGGGACATCCTCTCGACATGAAAGGTGCTTTACAAATGTAACTATGTATTGTATATGTCTGATCAAAAAAAAGAAACACACAAAAGCTGAATAGCAAGCATCATTCATCAACTGTCAAAATATTCTGAGGCGAGGATATCGAAAATTGATTGCTTCAGCAATTATCTCCCCAATCTAAATCACATGCATACAATTTTGGAGGTTTACAATGTTATTACCTCTTGTGACAAATAATCGGGAGGTCACACAAGCAGAATCCTGATTCCGAAGGATTTGGGACCTGTCCCCTATTGTTTTTCTTATTGACATAGCACCTTATCACATTGTCGAAACATCTCAAATCGCTTCATAAGATTTCACTGTAAAGTATAGTGACTGTGTATTTGCAGGCAAACACAGCAGCCAATTTGTGTATAGCAATGTCCTACATGAAGCCCATGAAGTGAATGAACAATTTTTCTTTGATGGGGTGGTTGACCAGGACTGGGAGTAACTCCCCTCACTTTTCAAACAGTGCCTGTTCAGTTGGTCTTTAACATCCAACTAAACAGGCAGACTCGTCTAGTCCAAAGGACGGGGTACCTCCGACAATGCCGTGCACCCCAAGCACTGCTTTGGAGTGTCAGTCGACTTAGAGGGACCTTGGTCTTCTTTCTCCCAGCAAATTCTTATGTTCTTATGCAGAAGAATGAGGAGAGGAAATATAAACTAGATGGTACAATCTTAAAGGGGATACAGGAACAGAGAGACCACATAAGCAAATCTTTGAAGGTGGCAGGACTGGTAGATAAAGATGTTAAAAAAGCATACAGGATCTATGGCTTTGTAAATAGGGGCATAGAATCCAAAAGTAAGGAGGTTATGATGAACATTTATAAAACACTGGTTAGGCCTCAGCTAAAGTACAGTTCAGTTCTGAGTACCACACTTTAGGAAAGATGTCAGGGCCTTGGAGTGGGTACAACAACAACAAAATTACATTTGTAAAGCACCTTTCACGTCAGGAGGACGTCCCAAGCCGCTGGACAGACAGAGTTACAGACCCGAGCTGGGGGTCAAGGTGGGGGAGGGCAGGTGGGGAAGCAGGGAGATCAAAGGCACGGTCGAAGAGAGAGTCTTGAGATGGGTCTTGAAGGTGGCAAGGGAGGGGGCGAAGCAGAGGGACTGCGGGATGGAGTTCCAAAGGGTGGGGGCAGAGTGGCGGAAAGCCCGCCCGCCAATAGTGGGGCGAGCAAGGCGGGGGACAAGAAGCAGGGGATGCTGAGCAGAGGAGAGAACAGGATGGTAGGGGGTTAAGAGGTCGTAGAGGTCAGGGGGAGCGAGATCATAGAGGAAGATGAGGACCAGGATCTTAAACTGTATCCTCTGTGTGATGGGAAGCCAGTGGAGATGGGCAAGGATGGGAGTGATAGGGTTGCGGAGCTTAGTGAGGGTGAGGACACGGGCTGCCGAATTCTGGATGATCTGCAGCCTGTGGAGGGAGGATTTGGCGAGGCCGACAAGCAGTGAGTTTGCGAAGTCAAGCCCCAATGTAATGAAAGCATGTATGAGGGTTTTGGCGGCCTGCGGTGTGAGTGGCGGAGCCGGGCAATATTGCGGAGTTGGAGGAAGGCAGATTTACCAGGATGGTACCAGGAATGAGGGACCGCAGTTATCAGGAGAGGCAGAGAAGCGAGGATTATTCTCCTTGGAGCAGAGAAGATTACGAGGAGACTTAATCAAAGTTTTCAAAATGATGAGGGGATTCGATAGGGTGAAGAAGGAGAAACCATTCCCATTGGCGGGTGGGTCGGTAACCCCAGGACACCGATTTAAAATAGTTATTAAAGAAACAGAGGGGAGGTGAGGAGAAATGTTTCCACACAGCGAGTCGTTGGGATCTGGAATGCGTTGCCTGAAAGGCTGATGGGAACCGATTCGATAACAACTTTTACAAAAGAAGTGGATAGATATTTGGGGAGGACTATGGGGAGAGAGCGGGGGAGTGGGGGAGTGGAGTGGGATCGATTTGGACAGCTCTTTTCATAGAGCCGGCACAGGCACGATGGGCCGAATGGCCTCCTTCTGCTCTGTATGATTCTACGAATCTTCAGGACAGGACACGTCAGGCGACTGCAAGGATGGCGGAAGGCGAACCGGAGAAGACATCGGTCCTGTAGGAGCAAATTCTTATGATCCTTAGATGGGGTTCCAAGTCCCAGGGTGGAGGTTGATGACCGCACAACTTTGTGACTGAGAGAGGCCGGAGTGCCAACAGAGCCGGGCTGGGCTGCCTGGCCCACCACGCCGTGCCTTGTGTCAAACGAATGAAGTACCTAACGCCAGCGTGTCGTCGCTGCACTTACCGATCTCTATGGCCTTGTAGGCTAACTCGGGGTCGTGGAGGAGGTCGCAGAGGGCCATGAGCGCCCGCTGCCTGGTCAGCAGCTCGGGGTCGGCCAGCTCCCGGTTCAGCTTGGGCAGAGCCCGGTCCCCGAAGGCGATGGGCGCTTTGGTGGGGTCGATGTGAGGGGGCAGTTTGGCAGAGATCCTGGTGTCAGCCATTGTACGGAGTGATTTCAGGGGCTGAGGTTAAAAGGGGGTGTGAGGAGAAGCGGCGGTTGGGGGGTGGGTTTGAAAGCCGACGGCGGCTCGCGCCTCCCGCCTCTCTCCGTCAGCAGCAGCTTGGCGCGGTCACCAGGGCAACGCCGGCGCCTCGGTCGCCAAGGCAACGCGCGGGGGGGGCCTCGCGTGTGTCGTCGCCATCGGCCGCCCCGGGGAGTGCCTCGCACGGCGCCTGCACACAGGGAGGTTATCTTTTCAAAAAAAACGTCGATATAAGGTTAATGACCAGCACTCACTCCTGTGGTGTATCCTTTATAAAACATTTACCCTTCCTCACGACTGACTCCGGTTCGGTTTCCTTCACTTTATTTTTGATATATATATGTATTTCACAAAAGCGCAGGCATGTTTTGAGGTCAACTAAAAGCCGCCCTTGTTGGCTCAGTGACCTGGTGATAATAAACACTAATAATAATAATAATATTGATAAGAATAATCCTCGCGTTTGACGTACAGCGCCTGATCGCGTCCGCGGGACGCCTCAAAGCGCTTCGCTGCAAAGTGTGGTGACTGTGTGTTTCGTGGGCCAATCGCGGCAGCCGATCGCACCCGGCGACGTCCCCCACAAACAGTCGTGGATTGAAGTGACCAAATTATTATTATTGCTTCTTTTGACGGGATTGTTACTCCCCACGGAAAAGCGCTCCTGCCAATCGACTGACAACCCAACCAGGCTCCTACTTACCGCTGGGTAAACAGAGGCGCGCGGGCGGAGTAAAGGAAACTCGCCCAACATGGCCTACCGTCCGGCAATCAAACCCAAGTCTCCTCTCGCTTGCGCGGCGAGTGCTCCTGACACTGAGCTAAAAGTGCTCAGAGTAACGGCTGAAGTCTGGACTTGAGAAAATGCCATTGGATCCATCAGCTACTAGAGATTCCATGGAGTTAGTTGCCGCGTTGCTGTAACGTGTCAAAAATGTGCAAGGCATTAACAGAGAAGACAAACAAAATGCTGAGCTGTATCGTCATATCAGTTTCGCCCACAATATACAGTCGATTCACTTTACAGTGTGTTCTGTGAAGCGCTTTGGGACGTCCTCCCGACGTGAAAGGCGCTATATCAAATGCAAGGATTATTATTATTATTATTGTGTGAAGCGCTTTGAGACGTCTCAAAGACATGAAAAGCGCTATGTCAAATGTAAGGATTATTATTATTATCAGTTGAGTTCAGATCCCTAGACTTCAGACTTCATACTCAAGCCATCTAGTGCTCTGGACAGGCCACACCTAGAGTACCTACAAATACGGTTCAGGTCACTGCGCCATACAACAACAACTTGCATTTATATAGTGCCCTCCACGCAGGGTAGCGTCGCAGAGCGCTTAACAGTGGCAGAGCCTGACTCCGTGCCGGTGAGCAGTCAAAGAGGAAGGTTTTTAGGCGGGACATGAAAGGGGGAGAGAGGGGGCAAAATGGAGGGATTGAGGGAGAGTGTTCCAGAGTTTCAGGGCGTAGTGGCTGAAAGCACGACCTCCAATGGTGGGGCGGAGTGTGCAAGGGACGTGCAGGCGGCCAGTACCACACGCCCAGAAAGTTCATGTCTTTGGTGTAGCTAGCGGACATCAAAATTAAATTAATTCAAAATGAAAGCAAACTTCTAAAGTAAGAGCCTACCCTTACATCCTAAATTATACATCCTTGAACAGATGTGTTCCTGGCCAGATATTCCCATTGTTACAGCAGTACAAGGACCATCGCCAGCATTCAAACATTAGTATCCATACTTTTGTATACTTGTTCTGTAGATTAGAGTTCAGTGACATCTAAAATCCTACTAAACTATCTTGGCCCTTTCTTACTATTTTAGTGGATCTGCTGAAAAAACTCCACAAACCCACCACCATTAGATTTAATTGGATTGACTTCTCTTTGGGACGGTGAAATCAAAGTCTGTGAAACAAGTTGTGAATTTGACTCTATTCTAAGTCAATGGGGAATGGTGCTGTTTCTTCGCTCACTGCAAGCCACTAAGGGCACAAAAGAATTCTGCAAGTCTTATTACGAGAATGACTCTAGGCAGCAGGTAGATGTGAGGGTGATCCTGCATTGTGCCTTATATTTTAATGATGTTGTGGTGTCTACTTGCACAACAATGAGACTGTTCATATTAATTATCTCTATAAAGAACTGCAGTAACCTTTGCAGAAATGTGTACATCAACACAAATAATTTATTTTCTTCACAGCATAACTATAGAAAACAGCTGTCTGAGTGTTTCCATATTCTCAAAGACTGTATCTTTAGAGAAGAGAATCTCTCCCAGTGTCCTGGCAATAATCCCCCAAATAAAAATAGTTATTTGCTTCATAGCTGTTTGTGGGACATTGTTGAGTGCAAACTTTGGCTGCTGCATTCTCTCTAACTACACTAATTACACTTCACAATGAAATTCTGTGAAGCTCTTTGAAACATCTCGATGATGTGATGAGGCACTATATCAGATTGCAAGGATTATTTATTATTTATCATTAATCAACCTTAAATCATTTAATTACATTTGTATTGTATATTCCTATTCTCTATAAAATTGGAAATAATAAGTACCTTGGAGTGTGTTTTATAGAAAATTTAACAATGACTGGGAATATGTTCTGAAGGCTTCATTTGTTAAAGAGACAATCACATTAACAACCTTGGGAAATGGTGTAAGTCACTGCAGCAAAGCAGATTCTGAATGGCATCTTAGCCCCAGAATATGACATCAGTTTGAAAACCATTCTTTAATAGTAAATGTAATATGTAGAATAATGTAAAATTAAATATGTTTTTTGAAATCATTTTAGTCTTGATGAAGCAATATGTCAAGCAGTGGAAAATGAATGNAAAAAAATCCTCTTGCAGGTAAGTTCCACTGTATCTATCTCCAAAACAACTAAATGGCTAAATGCAGAAAACATTGTGGCTCAGCTGATCCATAATGTGACCCAGAAGTAATTTAAGGATACACTTCTCTTTGCTAACCCACATTTGTCAGAATTTTTTTTAAAAACACCATTCCAACCCCAAGTTAAATGCTTCCCTTCCACCTCTGAGCAATGCAAAATATTTTTCGGGTAATACGTTGGTTATTTCACACGCCTCTGTTTACCCAGGGGTAAGTAGGAACCTGGTTGTCAGACAATTGGCGGATTGCTTTTCCAGGGGTAATAATCCTCTCAAAATAATATTTTTAAAAATTGAAAAACCATATAATAATTTGGTCACTCAATCCATGACTGTTTGTGAAACGCTGCTGTGTGCAATTGGCCGCCTTGTGTTGCCCCCAAAATATACAGTCAATTCAGTTTACAGTATATCCTGCAATGCGCTTTGAGATCTCAAAGACGTGAGAAGGCGCTATATCAATTTAAGGATTATTATTTATTATTATAAATTCCAAAATAATATCTGCCAGTGTTTATAATAATAATCTTTGCATTTGATTAACTTTAGTAATTAGCAACCATGATTATTTGGGAACAGTTCCATGTGGGATGCCTGCCTTCCAGTCAATGAGGCAAATCGAGTGGTTACAGCAGAGGTTGTAGAGTTGCTGTTCATCATCACTTCCTCATTTCCGAGTTCTGGATAAGTTGTTGGCAAAAACCTGGCAATTCAAGAGTGAATACAGAGAATGTCTGTGACTGAAATGCAAATTGTTGTTGTAGGTTTGATTTCAAGATCCTCACACTGGTGTACAAATCATTCCATGCCCGAGCACGTCCCTACCTCTCTGACCTGCTTACAGCCCGCTCCACCGCCCGCTGCCTTCGCTCAGATGGCTCCGGCCTCCTGCACGTCCCGTATACCCTCTGCTCCACCATCAGCGGCTGTGCTTTCAGCCACTACACCGCACAACTGTGGACCTCTCTGCCTCAATCCCTTTGCCTTGCCTCTTCCTTCTCCAACTTCAGATCACGCCTCAATACCTTCCTCTACGACAGTGCCGACAGTGGCCTCCCCCCTCTCTCCGGCTCCGCCCTTTTCAAGCGCTTCAAGACATTATCCCAATTATCCCAACATTATATACAGGGGGACCAAGCAGTCGTGATATCTACCCTATGATCTAAAAGAAATCATTATTTCTTTGAGACTCATTGGACATTGTAATACAGCAGCTGTTGCTTTCAGCGCCTCGGGACGTCCTCCCGACGTGAAAGGCGCCCTATAAATGGAATCTTGTTGTTGTTGTTGTTTATCATCATTTTTTCTATATTCGCCACAAACACACAGTCAGTCCGTTCGCTTTACGGTACATATATTCCGCGAAGCGCTTTTTGAGGCGTCTCGAAGACGCGGAAGGCGCTGTGTGCCCCCGAATGCCGGGGTTTTGTTTAAGGAAAACCTGCCCAACATTTGGGGTTTGGATTGCAAACCTGAGCCACTCAGCGACAGCGGCTCGAGACGAGCGCTGAGCGTTGGGGGGTCACTGCACAACGCTCGCCAACCCGGAGCTGCCAGTCCGGCCCAGACAGCACTGCCCCCCCCCGGGCACTGCCCCCCCCCCGGGCACTGCCCCCCCCCCGGCACTGCCCCCCCCCCCCGGGCACTGCCCCCCCGGGCACTGCCCCCCCCCCCCCCCCCCCGGGCACTGCCCCCCCCGGGCACTGCCCCCCCCGGGCACTGCCCCCCCCGGGACACTGCCCCCCCCCACTGCCCCCCCCGGGCACTGCCCCCCCCCGGGCACTGCCCCCCCCCCGGGCACTGCCCCCCCCCCGGGCACTGCCCCCCCCCGGGCACTGCCCCCCCCCGGCACTGCGGCAGCTCTGTGAGGGGCCCCCGGGGGCTGAGCCCTGAGCTGAGATCTCGGGGCAGTGCCGACAGTCGGAGGCGCTTCGTTACCTTAGAAACCCCCCAACAGGCGCAGGGCTCCCGGCGGCGGCGGCGGAGGGGAGGGGAGGGGAGGCTCCGCTCTGCTCCTCTCTGCTCCTCTCCACCGGTGAGTTCCTCTTTACCTGTTTTATTGCGCTCAGAAAGAGAACAGTTCTGGATGTTCAGGTGGTGCCCCTCCCAGGTGTGCAGGGCAGGTGGTGCCCCTCCCTCCCAGGTGTGCAGGGCAGGTGGTGCCCCTCCCAGGTGTGCAGGGCAGGTGGTGCCCCTCCCAGGTGTGCAGGGCAGGTGGTGCCCCTCCCAGGTGTGCAGGGCAGGTGGTGCCCCTCCCAGGTGTGCAGGGCAGGTGCTGACCCTCCCTCCCAGGTGTGCAGGGCAGGTGGTGACCCTCCCAGGTGTGCAGGGCAGGTGGTGCCCCTCCCAGGTGTGCAGGGCAGGTGCTGACCCTCCCTCCCAGGTGTGCAGGGCAGGTGCTGACCCTCCCAGGTGTGCAGGGCAGGTGGTGACCCTCCCAGGTGTGCAGGGCAGGTGGTGCCCCTCCCTCCCAGGTGTGCAGGGCAGGTGGTGCCCCTCCCAGGTGTGCAGGGCAGGTGCTGACCCTCCCTCCCAGGTGTGCAGGGCAGGTGGTGACCCTCCCAGGTGTGCAGGGCAGGTGGTGCCCCTCCCAGGTGTGCAGGGCAGGTGCTGACCCTCCCTCCCAGGTGTGCAGGGCAGGTGGTGACCCTCCCAGGTGTGCAGGGCAGGTGCTGACCCTCCCAGGTGTGCAGGGCAGGTGGTGACCCTCCCAGGTGTGCAGGGCAGGTGGTGACCCTCCCAAACCACCAGCTCACAGGGTCTCAGCGCCACACCTTGACCCCCTTTGGTTTGGGTGTTGCCCACTGTCTGATGGCACTCTCTCTCTCTCTCTCTTAGATTTAATTTCAAAGCCAAGAAATCATTGAAGTGCGGGGACAAGAGAGGGCGACATGGACAGCAGCAGCACCTGGTACAGCCTCCCTGTCCACAGGGATCGTGTCATCTCCAGATTCCCCAAGGTGAGGGTTTGGCTTGAGATTGGTTTCTGTACTCGAGGGTTTGGCTGGGAATGTGGCTAGTGAGGGATGGAGTTGGCTTCTCCCAGGGAGAGCCATGGCATTGAAAGTGGCACATGGCTGGTGTCAAAGTGAAATGCCATCAGCCAGTCAGGCAACAAAAGCCACCCAGTTCCTGCCAGTTACAGGACTTCCCTTCAAATGAAGCCATCTAATTACTGTCCATAGGGTTAATTGGGGGTAAAGTGAGAAAATGGTTGTGTTGGTGACTCAACCATCAACGTTTTAGCCTATATATTTAGCCTATTGTGTTCCTTTTTAAGGTCCATTCCCCTTCTCTTCCCCATTTCCTCCACCCTCTCCTCCTCCTCCTCCTCCTCCTCCTCCTCCTCCCTTCCCCCCAAAATGGGCAGTTATTGTTGGGCTAAGGGAATGGCAGTTGGGAGGGGGGTGGGTGATGGTATCGTTTCAATTAAGATTGGCACGCCTGGCTGGTCAATAGTTTCTGATTCCTGTAAGCCAACCATCCCACCTGACCAACATTCCTGAGTTCCCAAAATAGTCATCTATTAATAATTAGTGATCGTCAGGCGTGAGTGGTATATACCACACTATAACTGAGATACTTTGGATTCCAGACGTGCCTGCACTACATGTCTATGCTATTGCAGTTGTATTGCAAGTTTGACCCTCCCGTCGGTGAGAGTGTCCCGTCTGTCGGGAGGCAGAGCCATCTCTCAAACAGAAAAAAGGATAATAATAATAATAATAATATTCCTTGCACTTGATATAGTGCTTTTCACGTCTTCGAGACGTCTCAAAGCGCTTCACAGAATATACTGTAAAGTGAATTGACTGTAAATTTTGTGGGCGAAACTCGACAGCCGATTGTGCACAGCAATGTCCCCGCAAACAGTCGTGGATTAAGTGACAACATTTTTTTTTGAAGGGATTATTATCGACTAACAACCAGGTTCCTACTTACTGCTGGGTAAGCAGAGGCGTGTCTTGTGCGGAGTAAGGAAACTTGCCCAACATTTCAGTCTGCCTGGGAGTTGAACCCAGGTCCTCTCGCTTGCGAGGCAAGTGCTCTAACCACCGAGCTACAAACTGCGATTGAGGCCAAAAATGTAATGGGTGGAAGAGAGAGATGAAATAAAGAAGGCTGTGTTGTGCAAATTATTATGTGTATTTAATTTTAAATCACTTTCCCCACTCGCTTAATTAAACTCTTATTGAAATGTATCAGTATCACTCATAGCAGTCAAGTGCATAACGCAGTAAATTTAATTAGCTGATGATCTATTGCACAGTTATTACTGTTCACAGTTTAATTGGGTGTAAAGTATTAAAATGGATGTGTTGGGGAATCTATGATTTCAACTATTTAACCTACTAGAATTTTATTCCTTTTGAAGGTCCCTTCTCCTTCTCTTCCCCCATCCCGCCACCACTCCCCCCAGTTCAGGCCCCCTGTCAGTTATATGAAGGGCTCTGAGGCTCCTCCCAACATGATTGACATAACTGTGTACAATAACAATCTTTGCATTTGATATAGCGCCTTATATAAATGTAAATTGTTGTTGTTATAATTTGAATAAAAGACTGTTCGTTTCCCCCCACCCCCAGCATTTCAGGCATTTGAATTAGCTGTGGAATGATAATATAATGATAATCCTTGCATTTGAGTTAACACCTTATAATGTCTTTGAGACGTCTCAAAGCGCCTCACAGGATATGCTGTATATTTTGTGGGTTAAACGCGGCAGCCAATTGTACACAGCAGGGCCCTGTTGATTGAGTGACCAAATTATTATTATTTATTAATCATTTTATTTTCCGGAATGCCCCATCAATAAACTTGGCATAAGGAGCTCAGTGAATCATCAGACCAAAGTCAGATAAGTACCCACGCCTGAAGTCTAAGAAAAGTAATGAACTACAAGAGGTGGATTTGCCTGGGTTTCAGCACACAAAGGTCCCTTTCAGCTTTGCTTCTTGCTCAAGAGGTTAAAGAATGTTAAAGAATAATAATGTCAAGAATCCCCCAGATAAAATTGGTCACATGGCTGTCTACGGGACATTGCTGTGCGTAATTGGCTGCCACATTTCACCCACAAAATACACAGTCAAAATATACCACTTTACAGAATTTCCTGTGAAGCACTTTGAGACAACTCAACAACGTAATAAGCCACTATATCAAATGCAAGGATTATTATTATATTATACCGATGGTGGCGTGGAGGGGTCAGAGAATGCATAACAGACCCGTGTGAGCTAAGTGAAGTGGGCGGATGGAGGAGTGGGATAAAGCAGGTCAGAAAGGTAGACAGATGTTAGGCCAAGAAGGGATTTGTATGTGATGTTGTCATGTTGAGAATCTTGAAAATGATCGTTTTGGAGACTGGGAGCCAGTGAAGCCTGGCGAGAATTGGGGTGATGGGCACGCAGAGTTTGTCAAGCGTGAGGATGTGGACAGCTGAGTTTTGAATGAGCTGGACCCTGTGGATGGTGGAAATGGGATGACAATGGTGTGAAATGGGGTGGAAATGTCCTCCCAATGTGAAAGGCGCTAAACAAATGTAATCTTGTTGTTGTTGACAAGTGAACATATATTTGAGAAATCAAACGGGGAGGTGACAAAGGGATGGATGAGGATCAGAGGTGGGATGAGCATTTGGGATGAGATGGGATCAGAGGCGGGCAATGTGGCGGAGGAGGAAGAAGACGGTGGTGGTCATGTGGTTTGGAACTGGAGATTGTATGGGTTCAGTGAGTTTGAGACATTTGAGGAGATCAGAGCCAGTGGTGATAAGACATTGATGGGAGTCAAGGAGGATGTATGTCCAGATTTAGCAGTAGGAAGTTGGTGCGCATCCAGGCCCTGACGTCTGACAGCAGGCGGATAGAACATCAGTGACTAGAGAGAGAAAAACAGATTTAGGTGTAATACGTAAATACGTGAAAGTTAAGTCTGTGTCCACAGACGAAGCACAAGCATGTAGATGAGGGAAAGGAGTTGCTGAGAATAGAATCTCCACAGGTGCGCGTGTGAAGGCAGGAGGAGAAACCATCAGAGGAGACAAACTAGAGGCAGTGGGTCAAGTAAAAATTGAACCAGGAGAGTGTGTTGAAAAGCATGGCACTTGTCCACATCCCAATGAAGTAAGTGAATAATGGCTGGTGGTGGGTGGAAGCCCGGTTGTTGGTCGATTGGCAGATTGCTTTCCAGGAGTGGTAATCCCTTCCCAAAAATAAATAAATAACTATGGTAGTTTGGTCACTCAATCCTTGACTGTTTGTGGGACACTACTGTGCGCAATTGGCTGCCATCTTTCGCCCACAAAATGTATAGTCACCCCACTTTGCAGCGTATTCTGAAGCGCTTTGAGACATCTCAACAACACGATAAGTCACTATATCAAATGCAAGGATTATTATTATTATTACAGAAAATACTTGTACTGCCTACATTAAAATCTGCAGATAACTAAGTGATAGAGTGAAAATCATCTTACCTCGATGATCAAAAACAGTAATCCTCTTGAGTTTTACTGTCACTATTTACTGTATGATGGATGAATGCGCAGAATCATAGCAGTCCATCTGTTCAGTCCCAGAGTAAAAACTACCTTGAAGCTGTCAATGTCTAATATTCACTTTATTTTCCTGCAGCAAAATTTGGGCTCATTTACTTCCCATTCCACAATAGTTTTGAAAAATTGCCAATTTTTCCACTGTATTCTTTGTGAATTGTTAGCTTTTAAGCTGAAAAAAAATTAAGCCTCTTGAAAACTAAAAGATAATAATAATCCTTGCATTTGATATGGCACCTTATCACGTCTTCATGATTGAGTGTATATTTTGTGGGCAAAACACGGCAGCCAATTGGGCACAGCAGTGTCCCCACAAACAGTTGTGGATTGAGTGACCAAATTATTATTTATTTTTTTGATGGAATTATTACCCTTGGACAAGCGATCTGCCGATCGACTAACAAACGTGTTCCTACTTACTGCTGGGTAAACAGAGGCGTGTGGAGTAAGGAAACTTGCCCAGTGTTTCGCCTGCCGGGAATCAAACCCAGGTCTCTCTCTTGCGAGGCGAGCTGTGCGCAATTGTGCTGCCGTGTTACGCAGTCACTCAGTTTCACAGTAAATCCTGTGAAGTGCTTTGAGACAAATGGGTGAACTTTCTGAAGTTCCGGAAAATGGGAGGAAGAATCCCCACTTCTGCGAAGCTCCTCCTCATTGTACTCAAAATCTACCTCAAGACCTAACTCTTTAACCGCGCCTGTGGCCACATGTCCTCTTCCCCGGTCCCCACACCCTATCTTACTCTCCTAGTCAGCTGTGTGAAGCACTTTTGAGACGTCCTCCTGACATGAAAGGAACAATATAAACGTAAATTGTTGTTGTCAGGAGTTAAAATGAAGCAATGTAACGTGAAAATGTCAATATTGTACAAAACGTATCAATGAAATTTATCAGAAGCAATCTGTCGGAATGATTAGAATGCTGTTGCTTTAGCTTTAGACTGGATTATTTAGAATCGTGTTACCAAGGAAACCGCTGCAGAATTAAATGAGAGTTACGCTTTTGAATCAGTGATGAAACCGCTGTCTGTTCAGGTTTACTGGGTTCAAACTGTTGTGTGCGCTGAATTGGCAATTCCTCTCTCCAGGGCATTTTGCATTTGTTTGTCAGCCACTTATAGGATTCGCTCGAAGGCTTTGTGTTTCACTAGTAAAGCATTTGCAGCTCTCCAAAACAGTGGAGTCGTTAAACAATAATAATAATAATAATAATCCTTACATTTGATATAGCGCTTTTCACGTCGGGAGGACTTCCCAAAGCGCTTCACAGAACACACTGTAAAGTGAATTGACTGTATATTTGTGGGTGAACGCGGCAGCCAATTGCGCACAGCAATGTCCCACAAACAGTCGTAGATTGAAAATGACCAATTTTATTATTGTTTTTGGAGGGATATAAAGGAAAGATGGAGCGTAGACGAGCAAGATTATTAAATCTCTTGAGTTCCCATTCACGCTTCACATGGTTGTGATGTCTGAATGAGATGAAGTCTATGTTATGAATTACATCTGGAATTTTTTTCAACGGGATAGTGTTAGCCTGAATTATGGTAACTTCCATAATGTTTGTTTATCTTTAGTTAGTATTTGGAAACAAGATTAAAACGCTAGAGCTGGTGCTCATTAATATGGATCAAGCTGTTTTGTCTTCAGGGTGATACACAGAGAGTGACACAGGGAGGGAGTAGGGGAGAGAGAGAGAGAGGAGGGGGTGGAGGGGAGAGATGGAGAGGGAAGAGACTGAGACGGAGATGGAGGGAAAAAGATATGGAGAGGCAAAAAGACAGAGAAAGAGAGAGGCGGAGGCAAGGAAACAGAGAGAGAGCGACGGAGAGTGAGAAAGAGGGGAAAGGTGTCTTCTCTCTCCCTTGGAGTCTCCTACCCCTCTGTATCCCCCTCTCCTCTCTCTGTCTCTTTTCTCTCTCTCGCTCTCTGAGTTCTCTCTCCCTTATTTCCAACACTCTCTCTTCCACCTTTCCCTCTCCCCCCTTTCTCTCTCTCTCGCCCCTTCTCTTTGTACCTCTTCTCTCTCACTCTCTTCCTCGCTCCCTCACTCTCTCTTTCTCTGTGTGTTCTCTCTTCCCCTCCCTCTCCCTCTCTATATATTCTCTCTTCTCTCCCTCTCTCCTTTGTTTTGTAGTTTGCTGTAACCTCATAACATGCCTTCAATTTTGCGGATAGAGGGAATTATGAAAAAAACTACTTTTTAAAAAAAGGCAAAAGTGTGTCTATAACCTTAAACAATTGTAAAGTCAGGTTATGTACCAAATTTCACTAATGTCTGTAATTCCCATTGCAGTTTCATCATAACTGTATTGCAACTGTACATTTGAGATTGTCAAATTGAATGGGAGAGAGAAGAATTCTAAACCCAAAATAAAGTTCCACCTTTCCAGTGTTTGTACAATTGGAGAATTCCCTCACTGTGTGATATGATGGAAATGATGTATCTTTCAGTATCACATTGCACGTCATTTGATATCAGAAGGTTGTCAAATGAAAGAGTATCAACTTGATATTATCTGAGGCTGATTTTGTTCACAGACCAGGGATATTGTAGCTGTAAGGATATGTAGCTGGAGTTCTGTAGCTCAGTGGTTAGAGCACTTGCCTCGCAAGCGAGAGACCTGGGTTCGATTCCCGGCAGGGTGAAAACTTGGGCAAGTTTCCTTATGTCACACTCCTGATTATAATCCCTCAAGAAAAAAACAATAATAAAAAAATTGGTCACTTCAATTCAATCCATGACAATCCATGACACTGCTGTGCGCAATTGGCTGCTGCGTTTTGCCCACAAATATACAATCAATTCACTTTACAGTATATTCTGTGAAGTGGTTTGAGATGTCTAAGAGATGCGAAAAGCGCTATATCAAATGAAAGGATTATTATTATATTATGTTGTTATATTCAAGATAGACTTCTATTCAGAGGGTGTTAAATACCTTATAGGTTAGGGGAAAGATAATTAGTATCACTGACCATGATCCTCCAACTTCTGCCGGAGGTAAATGTACTTAAATGTTGGGTGAGAACCAAATCAGGCTTAGCCAGGGTCTTGACACATACAGAAACCAATTGTCAGTGGCAGAAAATTGGTAGCAACAGCGACAATGTGCATTTATATGGTGCCCTTCATGGCACAGCTTGATGCAAAGTGCTTGCATTGGACGGGCATTGAATCCTGGATAGGCACGAACTCCAATCACTGCAACCAGTGAGCAGGTTGTTCAATATTAAACTAGTGGCCAATACATATCCTATGAGGCTGGAGAAGAAAACTGGATCAAGGAACAATTAGAGCAAATGACTGGCACAAAAGCACGAGTCACAAGGCTTTGCTTGTTTAAATCCATCTTGAATGAACATGCAGATGTTTGTGAGGTTTCTTTCTCACACACGTACCATTCTGGGACATTAAGGTGTTTTGAATCATTTTGCAGTGGTACAGACCAGAAGCCTGTCAGCAATTCAAGGATGACTTCCACTCTCAAGTGAAACGTGCCTGCCAGGAGCAGCAGACCAGAGCTGTTGGGTAAGTAATTTGAGATATGGAAAGGGATCTTGGATTGGGCTGGATCACAGACAACATGTATTAATTAAGAGGGATTTTTTTTTAAGCCACATAACTTGATGTTGTAAGGAAAATTATGATTATGCAGGACAATAATTGGTAAAAAAAAACCTTTCCTTTTGCCTTGATGGACAATACCATCTCAACCTGCTGAATAAATGAAAGCTTTAGTAGTGGTGGGGTCTTGTCATTAAACCACTTGTTGCGATGGTTTTGATTTGGGAGTTCCAGGTTTTGACCCAGGAGGTGAGGAAGGTAATGGAAGTGGGTGTCCAGGTTGGGATGGTGAGGGATTGGAGGTGGTAGATTTCCCACGATACCACAGTTCCTGTTGTAGCATTTTTTAGGGATTACAGTCTTCCTATAACAGTCTCAAGCTTTTCTTGAACAAGTACTGTATCCTGTTTATTACTGTCTGCAAAGAAACATTTGACGGTAACCATCCTAACATGGCTCTTTACCTTCAGTATAAATCAATGATATTCTCCTGTATTTTGCCCACAGGCTGAAAATGTCAAAAGTGGTCGTGGTTGGAGATTTGTATGTGGGTAAAACATGTCTCATTAACAGGTGAGCATTTACCTGATCCTCTCCTTTACTACAGTATCACAGACTGAAAATGAACTGTGAGACAGTGCTTCCTCAGTGCTCTGATCGGTTCACTTTAGTTAGTCATTTTGTTCCATTGATTGGATGCTCTTGGTGGAATCAGTGAGCCTTCATGACCTCCAGCAGAGAAGGAAGGTATGAAATTCCAGTTCACAGCTGCATTTTGCTTAACCAGCTTCTGTTGACTTTAGATGATACATTTTTCCACCCTGTAGTTAATGTTTGACTGAGGACATTTAACCTCTAGCAATGGGTATGTATCTCAGTGTTCTCTCCAGGCTACTTGACGGTGCCAGGAGGGGGAGTTGTCAGACTGCTTGCTTCCACCCTCCGTTAATCTATTCTTTTGTTGGCCGATGATTAGAATGCAATAGCTGTACCCAGTGCCTTATTTTACCCCCGAGCACACCGAGCACACCCTGCCTTTTAAAACTTCCATTTCCCTCTCCCCAGCTCAGCTGTGTGAAGTGGTTTGAGATTTCCTCCTAACGAGAAAGACACAATATAAATGTAGAAGTCGCTGGGAACACTCGGCAGGTCAGGCAACATGAGTGGAGAGAGGAAAGTGACTTAACGTTTCAGGTCGATGACCTTTTATCAGAACTGTTGCACAAATTCCCTTTCATTTCACTTCTACAAATACAGTCGTGACACTTTGCAGTAAATCCTGTGAAGCTTTTTGAGACATTGAATGATGTGGCAAGAGGCTATATCAAATGTGAGGATTAGGATAATAACACACTTTTCCTCTGCCAACTTCTGCAGCTGTCTGCCCTCTGTCCATTCAGCTCCTATTGTTATTATACTGTCCTACCATTACCATTGGACTATCCATGCTCTAGGGGATAATTGTATCACCCTCTATGGGTATCAGTCGATGAAGTACACGTGCCCAGGCATCAGTGTCTTTTCACTGTAGCACGAAACCAGATAACAAGGTGTTGGTTTCAAAAGCCTTGACTTGACCCACATAGACAGAAGTCAAATTTGTAAGAACAATTTTGAGTAGCCAGGTGAATGGGTTGTGAAGCTGTGAAGTGCAGAATTCATTTTGCCATCAATTTTGTATCACCAATAGCAAACTCTCAACAGCTTTAACCTGCACCTGAACAGGCAAACAGGACCAAGGTTTAATGTCTCATCCGAAGGACAGCGCCTCAGCAATGCAGCACTTGCCCAGGTCTGCCCTGCAGTTTCAGCCCGAGTCTATATCAGTTTATAGCGCTGACGTGTCGAAATGTGTCCTTAAGGATCTTGCCTCTGTTTTTATTTGAACCAATACAATGGAATCCATTTTTGCCAGATGTCAAGTAAATCAGGGATCTCTCTTCTGTCCAACAGTTGCCCAAATAAAATTGATCATCCACTTCATGGCTGATTGTGAAACATTGCTATGTACAAATTGACTGGCACTTTCACATACAAAATAGAGTTACAGCTCTCTGCAGTAAATACTGTGAAGTCCTTTCAGATGTTTCTGTGACGTAATAAGTTGCTGTATGTATCAAATGCAAACATTATTATTGTTGGATTGCTTCTGAATTTCAGGTTTTGTAAAGACGTGTTTGACCGAGACTACAAGGCGACAATAGGGGTAGATTTTGAGATTGAAAAGTTTGAGATTGCTGGAATTCCTTATAATCTTCAAATGTGAGTACTTGCACCCATAAATGTACAGTCAATTCACTTTACAGTATATTCTGTGAAGCGCTTTGAGACATCTCGAAGACATGAAAAGCGCTATATCAAATGCAAGGATTATTATTAGTATTACTGTAATTTTAAAACCTAAATTGCTGACATTTTTTCAAAATTGGTGTTTTGTTAGCGGATCTCTTTTTGACTTGCTTCTGGAATTACTTTTGTTGACTGAAGTGAAAGGGAATTGTGCTGGGAATTTGAACAATCCTGTTCCCTTTAGCTGGCAACTGGACTGGAGGCTGACATCCAGGTTCATTGCCAAAGACCTTCACGCTGAAGGGCTTTGGTAACACTTCTATTCAAAAAGCATTAGCTGCACTGGTTTACTTACCTTATTTTTATTTATCCTTATTTTGCTTCAAAAATAATAATAAATGGATCACTCAATCCATGATCGATGGTGGGACACTGCTTTGCCCACAAAAAAAACAGCGAATCCGCTTCACAGTGTATCCTGTGAAGAGCTTTGAGACATCTCAACGACATGATAAGGCACCCTATCAAATACAAGGATTATTATTATTATTCATCTTCACCCACATAGCACACACACACGACACTGCACTTTACAGTACATCCTATGAAGCACTTTGGGACATCCTCCAATTAAGGATTATTATTATCTTCCTCACTGTTTAGTAAGCATGACACTTGTGAACGCCACTTTTCAATCCGGGCACTGTCTTAGCGCTGCCCAAACTCATTCATTTCACCTGAGACCATCTTTAGCCTTTCCTCATCAACATTCTATCTTTTAATGCTGTTTAAATTTACACTGAAACCAATAATCAGAGGACATTAGATTAAACATCCAGTGGAAATATATTTTTGAAGCTGTGTGTAAGATGATGGAGAATGTATGTTTAGTGAGAAAACTGAAGAGGCTTTTCAGTGCTTTTTCAGTGGAACAACAACAACAACTTGCATTTGCACAGCGCCTCTCACTCAGGGTAGAGTCCCAGAGCGCTTGACATGGTGGAGAACGACACTGAGCTGAGGAATGGCAGAAAGATCTCCATTCCTCCCGCCCCCACCTCCCCCACACCCCCAGCTTCTTTGATCCTTGAGATGAAAGGAGAGTGTCAGCCTACTTAATCCGGCAGACCTTCAGTTTGATTACCATACCATAGCACCTTGAGCAAAGGAGAAGTTGTTCATTGCCTGTGATGATGACGTTCAGAGCCTGATTAATCCTCGCATTCAGAGGCTGATCATCCAATCCTCTGATTTCCTGTCTCGCGGAGAATTGACATGCTCAGCACGTAGACAAGTACATTAACCTTTAAATTAGTTCAATTTGTCCTCAAAGAATTACCTTAAAGGACTAATGTGACAAATGTTTCTATTTGTTTAGCTGGGACACAGCAGGGCAAGAGAAGTTCAAATGCATCGCTTCTGCTTATTACAGAGGGGCTGAAGGTAAGTTATGGACTGACTGGAAGGTGGAGGGGGAATGAGACTTTGAACCAAGAGTCACCAAGGCTTGGGATTCTTCCCACTTTGCTCCTGGTAACTCTGCAAACCAAAGCCTTAGCAGGTAAAAAAGTCCTCGCTGGTCAAGCAGCGGGGATGGCACCCAAAGTACAATCCAATACAGTTTGGGACATGACATGTCAAGCGATTGCCAGGATGGTGGAAGGCGAATTGGGTGGACCGTGGTCTTCGTTCGCCAGCAAATTCTTATGTTCAAGACAGATTTAGCGATGGTCAAACTCCAGTAAAACTCCATCTCGGGTTCACAAGCCTAACATTTCCAGGATTGTGTGTCAGCCTGGCTCGGTTGGTAGAGCTCTCGCCTCTGAGTCAGAAGGTTGTGAGTTCAAGCCCCATGGCAGGACTTTGAATCCATATAGTTTGGCCTGAAGCTCCAGGGCAGTGCTGGGGGTGTGCTGCATTGTTAGAGGTGCCGTCCTTCAAATGAGACATTAAACTGAGGTCCCGTCAGCCTGTTCAGGTTAAAGATCCCACAGATTTCTTCAAAACATGAGTTCAGTTTCACCCAGTGTCCCCCAGACAAAATTGGTCATTCATTTTAGGGATCTCTTCATAGGGAGTGGGATTGATTTGGAAGCTCTTACAAAGAGCCCGCGCGGACAGATGGGCCGAATGGCCTCTTTCTGTGCTGTATAATTCTATGATTCTATGAGCATATGGCTGTTTGTGAGACATTGACTACCTTGTTCACCCACAAAAACACAGGCTCTGTGCTTACAGTACGTCCTGTAAAGTGCACTGAGATGTCCTCTGGACCTGAAATGCACGGGTTATTATTGTTTTTAGATTATTATTTTATTTCTAAACCGGGCGTTTCCTTCCATGGAGAGTGTGTTCATTCCATTCCAAACAAATGGAAATTTACATAGATATGTAAAGTTGATTTGGATGTTCTTAAGTATGTTGGAGGGCGAAACCTTGGGCAAGTTTCCTTACTCCACACGCCTAATAATCCTCCAAAAAAACAAAAACAATAATAAATTGGTCATTTTCAATCCACGAATGTTTGTGGGACGCTGCTGTGCGCAATTGGCCGCCGCGTTTCGCCCACAAATATACAGTCAATTCACTTTACAGTATATTCTGTGAAGAACTTTGAGACGTCGAGAAGACATGAAAAGCGCTATATCAAATGCAAGGATTATTATTATTGTTGGTGGTTTTCTGCTTTTCTCAGACAATCGGCTGATCAAAAAAAGCGCATTCTTTTTATAAAAACCTTTAATTTATGACTTTTTTTGAAATTTATGCTTTCAGTCATTATAATTGCCTTCGACCTTGCTGACATACAGACTTTGGAACACACAAAGTAAGTTGATTTTTTTAATAAATAATTGATGTGAATGTGCCAAACGTAATATATGTTTTTTCCATTCTTTTCAAGTTTTCTTCGGGAATTACAGGACGACCTTTATTATGACCCATGATTGGTTTAGGTCCATGAGCATTATTTTGTTTAGTCAGTATCTGACAGGCCCACATCCAACTTCCACATTGGAGCCTCACGCAGATAAATAACGTTCTAATGTCAAGCTGACTTGTGCTTTTATCACTGTCCAACCAAGTAAACTCTTCACTGATATAAATACACTTCAGTTCCCCAATTGTGACAGCATTTATTCAATATTTAATCCGGTTACATTAATAGTATTCATCACAGTTTCATACTCTGAGATCCGGGAACATTCTGTGCGCAATCATGTCAAGTCATATGTCTGTCTCAGTTAAAGCTTACAGCTGCTTCTAATAAGAATTAATAATCCGTTAAAATGAAATGTACAACATTCAAAAGCATAGTTGTGTTACTGCAACTGTAAAAAAATATTATTTAAAAATCCAGATGTGATATTGTGCGTCACATTGCTTCAGTCCTTCACAGCTATGGATAACACTTGGTTTTCTCTTTCTCTTCAACCGTGCCTTCAGCGCCCCTCTCGACTCTACCCCCTCCTCGCTCCCTCCCTTCCCTCACCCTGACCATGTACCCCCTGCTCGGGTCCCGACCCAACTGTCCAGCGCCTTGGGACGTCCTCCCGACGTGAAAGGCGCTCTATAAATGCAATCTTGTTGTTGTTGTTGTTGTTGTAGAGTCTGTTCCCATTCTTTCCCCATCCAGCAATTGGCTGCCGCGTTTCGCCCACAAATATACAGTCAATTCACTTTACAGTACATTCTGTGAAGCGCTTTGAGACGTCTCGAAGAGGTGATGAGGTGCTATATCAAATGCAAGGATTATTATTATTATTATCCTATCTTTTTCCACTTGTAGTTACGAACAATCTAGGTAGCAACTAGTCCTGGTGAGTTCTGCTACATAGTGTAGCAGGTTGCCAAGTGTCTCAGCTTTATTTCCAGTACCCAATACACAGTCACTACAATTTTTAAAAACTAAAGCGATTAAGTGATCTGGGGATAGGGCGGATAAATGGAATTAGGTTAGAAGATTAGCCATGACTTTGTTAAATGGCGGGGCAGGCTCGAGGGACTGAATGGCCTACTCCTGCTCCTATTTCTTATGTTCTACAGTTTCCTACAGTTGAATGTGAACAAGACTGAGGCCCTCCTGATTGCTCGCGCCAGCGCCTCTGCACCTCAGGCTCTGACAGCATCAACCTCCATGGTTGCTCACTACAACTCACCAGCCAGTCAGGAACCTGGGGGTCTTGTTCGACCCTCAACTGTCTTTTCTCCCCCACATTCAAGCCATGACCCGCTCTGCCTTCCCTCACCTCCGTAACATCGTCCGACTCCGCCACTACCTCACCCCTCAGGCGCTGAAACTCTTGTTCGTGCCTTCATCACCTCCAGGCTCGACTACGCAAACGTCCTGCTTGTCGGCCTTCCCAACTCCTCCCTTCACAGGCTGCAGATAATCCAGAACTCTGCAGCCCGTGTCCTCTCCCGCACTAAACTCCGTGACCCCATCTCCCCCACTCTCGCCCGACTCCATTGGCTCCCTATCCTTCAGAGGATCCAGTTCAAGATCCTGATCCTCACATACAAAGCCCTCCATGGCCTCCCCCACCCTACCTCTGCGGCCTCCTAACCCCCTACCAACCCGCCCGCTCCCTCCGCTCAGCCGCTCTGGCTGCTCCACGTCGCCGACCCACCCGCCCCACCATTGGCGGGAGAGCCTTCAGCCACTCCACCCCCAGCCTCTGGAATTCTATCCCCCAGTCACTCCGCCTCACCCCCCCCTCAGCCTCCTTCAAGTCCCGCCTCAAAACCCTCCTCTTCGACAATGCCATCAGTCACCCCCCCTTCCCCTCCCCTCCCTTCTCTCCCCAACCCCAGCTCGGTTCTGAAATGCTGTACACTGTCCAGCGCCTTGGGACGTCCTCCCGACGTGAAAGCCGCTATACAAATGTAATCCTGTTGTTGTTGTTGTTCTTATGTTCTTAATTTACACTATATCCTGTGAAGCACTTTGAGATTGTGAATCTTATAACGCGCTTTAACAAAAAGAAAGTTTATGATTATTTTAATATAATATAATACAGTCTCTGAAAGGCTGGAACACCTGTTGGCCTGGACTATCGAAATTAAATGGAAAATGATATTAAGTTTTAAATGGTCTTGATGGAAATTTTGCAAGATAGTCTAAAAGCATATACAAAATAGTTACTGAAATAGTTTCCAGAAATCGTACAAATATGGCAAGGTAGCTGATAAATCCCATATATATCAACCCATTCTCTCTTGTGTCAGGCAGTGGCTGGAGGACGCTCTGAAGGAAAATGAGCAAGGATTAAGTTCCATATTTCTTGTGGGCTCTAAAAAGGATTTAGTGGTGAGTAACTATTATTTTTGTTGTAAGTAAGTGTGTCAGCTCGGCTCGGTGGTAGCACTCTCTCCTCTGAGTCAAAAGGTTGTGGGTTCAAGTCTCGTAGTCTGAGCTGACAGCGCTGGGGGGGGGTGTTGCATTGTTGGAGGTGCCGTACTTCAGATGAGATGTTAAACTGGGGATGGGTCTACCTATTCAGGTTGACACTAAAGATCCTATGGCACTATTCAAAAAGAATGGTCATATCAAATGCAAGGATTATTATTATTATTATTATTATTATTATCAATCCCCTAAATAGAATTGGTCACTCATTTCATGGCTGTTTGTGGGACATTGCTGTGCACAATTCTGTTGCTGGTTTGCCCATAAATATACAGTTACTCCATTTCACAGTCAATTCTGTGAGGCACTTTCGACGTGATAAGGCGCTATACCAAATGAAAGAATTATTAATTTTAAGTAGTATCAGTAAACACATTTAATGCTAGACAGTGTCGCCTTTCAAAGATAGTTGCTCACACTCAATATTTAATAATAACAACAGCAAATTACATTTATATAGCGCTTTTCACGTCAGTAGGACGTCACAAGGCCCTGAATCCAGAGAGGAGAATTTAGGGGATTATATCTCCAAAGACTGAGCAATTTAGAGGCCTCTTCAGAGGGAAAATGTTATTCTCTGGTCTGTAAATTTACAAACCTCTTTTCAACCTTTTCATGTTAAGCCGCACTATAGGCCTTTGCCTTTCATATTGGTTGATTATCGCGGTTTATCACAGAAAGGTCCAAAAGTTTTTATAAGTATATTTATGTTTCCACTTTATGATGTTCCAAGTATTCATATTCCTGTTTTTTACACTATTTATAATCTCTGTTGTATGCGAAGCTCTCCGAGTTGTTATTCCACGTGAAGGGTGCTGTATAAATGCAGTTAGTTGTTGCTGTTGTATCTTTTAGTCGCAGGCTGAATGTGAGAGAATAGAAAGTGACGCTATCAAAATAGCTTCTGAGATGCAAGCAGAATATTGGTCCATGTCTTCTAAGACAGGTCAGTATATTTGTACATCAAAATTAGACATACCTTTTCAAAAACCTCTTGGTTTTACTCAGAATAAACCTTAAGTGTATGCATTTCTCTAGAAATTGCTGTGTAATATCAAATACTTCATGTTTCCAGTTTATTTATGTGGTGTATATTGTGCTGTAAATATGACCGTGTGTAAATTGCGCTGTAAGATGTCAGTCCGATCCGCCTGAAGAGGTAATTTCGCCGACAAGAATTGTTATCGTTTTGTCAAATGGTTGACGGTGTGCCATTCCCAAACCATCGCTTGGCAGTCATTTACTAAAATGCTCTCAAGCGCAATAGGCACATCTGTTTGCACACAGGAAGAACATAATGTCCTCCTTGTGCGCAAACAGTTCTTTCCTTGATGGTTCCGAGCTTCTGGGGCGCAGTCGAGGAGCTTACTCACCCCGGTCCCTTTGCCAAAAGTCTTGGATCAAGCAGTGAAGTGAATTAGTGGCAAACACGGGAATGGGTAGGGATGGAGGGAGTTAGGGAGAGAGGGTGGCTGTGGCCTACACTGACTTGTTGCTGAGCACCCTGGAGGTGGAATCGGCGGAATTAGCTGAACAGGATGCGATCCTCCAGAGAGGAAGAGTGCGCATTCCATCCCAATAAACATCCGTGGAAATTCCACGTGTAGGTGGGATGCATGGAATTCTCAGCTTGATTTGGATGCTCTTAAGCACCGTCATGGGTTTCCGCATGTGCCAGACGCCCAGCCGACCAAAAAAAATGCTCTCAAGCTTGCTTCAGCAGCAAGCGTTCTGTCTCCAAACATTTCCTTAATCCGGTGCAACAGCCACTACTTACGTTACATTAAATGGAGCTTTTGCAAACGAAACCTATCAAAGTGCTTAATGGAATGAGATTACATCAGGTTGTGTGGTTTTCATGTTATTCTCCAGATGTTGGACTCGAGTCTCTTAAGTTCTATTGTGTATCGCATCCAGTTTCAGGTTCACAGACGGCTAGTGTGGGTGTGATCAGCTTCTCGGTTACCTCTTTTTGTCTCGTTATAAAGAATGTGTCTGGGCTCTTGTTATACTGGTTAAATAGTTGCACGCACATAATAAGTGTGTGTTAAGTGGCAGCGGGTGGCCAGCTCTGTGAGCCTGAACTCCAGCAGGAGGGTTTGGGGGTGGGGGGAGAGAACATAGGAACATGAGAATTCGCTAGATGAAATAAGACCATCCAGTTCACTTTGCACCGTCCTGGCAGGCGCTTGACATCTCGTGTCCCAAACTATATACTATATCCTCGGATATCAATGTCAAGCAGAAATCGATCTCATTTGTTCTTGAAACAAACAACATTTTCTGCTTCCACCGTCTGACCCTCTAGGGAGAGAGAAAACTGCACTGCTGTGGTCAGTGTATCCAAACGTGAAGTGAAATAGGCCAAGAAGTGATTAAACTGCACAGTCAGTTTGTTGCTGCAGTTAAAGTATGTGGTGGTACCTTCTACCCACAGGTGAGAACGTGCGGGAGTTCTTCTTTAGGGTAGCTGCCCTGGCATTTGAAGCATCTATACTGAAAGAGTTAGAAAAGAATGATGTGCCCACCGCAAAGATCGGGGGAGGGGACACTATCCGTAAGTACCGGCATCCGTTTGTCTGTCTGTAGTTTTTATAACATAGAAACAGAGAAAGAGGAGGAGGCCATTCAGCCCCTTGAGTCTGTTCCGCCATTCTATAAGATCAGGGTTGATCTGTACCTCAAGTCCAATTACCCGCCCTTGCCCCGTATAACTCAATACCCTGACCTAACAAATATCTCCACCTCAGTCTTAAAGATGTGAATGGATCCAGCATCTACAGCCTTTGGGGGAGAGAGTTCCAGATTTCCACTACCTTTGGGTGAAAAACTGCCCCTGATTTCACTCCTAAATGGCCTCGCTCTAATTTTAAGATTACGTCCCCCTTGTTCTGGATTCCCCACCAGAGGAAATAATTTCTCCCTATCCACCTTATCGAATCCCTTTATTACAGGGAAGATGTTCTGAATTCTTGTCACTGTTTTATCCAAACGTGTGTTAGAACTCACTGCTTCAATTCCCCCACCTCACTCTCCTCTTTATCTATCTATCTTTAAATCCCACCTTAAGATCAACCTCTTCCACTGCGTCTATGGCGTCTACATCTTCCCTGTAATAAAGGGATTCGATAAGGTGGATAGGGAGAAATTATTTCCTCTGGTGGGGAATCCAGAACACCTTCCCCCTCGATTGGCCCTGTCATCGTGCAGTGCTCCGAGTCAGTATCCTGGGTGAGGGACGCTGTGTAAATTGCTAGTTGTTGCTGTACTTAACTGTGAGGTGTGGGTTTCTAGTGAAGAGAATAAAATATAACCATTTCATCTAAATTTACAAAACACTTTCTCTTTCCAAAATAACAGGGATGGACAGAACCACAGCTGAACACTCAGGAAATGGGACAAACTCCACAATCAACTGTTGTTGACAGTGATTGTCAGCATTTCATGTTCCTGAGATTCGTGCTACTGACAAGTTGATGGATTTGGAAACAATAGCACCTTCATTGTGCTGATCCATGTGGTGTCAGTTTCAGGTCCAATGACTCTGGAATTCAATACCTGTGATTTATTAAAATATTAATCCACGCCAGCCGAATACTGCAGAAACTAAGGCTGAGTCTTGGCATTGGATGAAACTGAACCATTTACAAAGGCAATTGGCAACTTCTGAAGCGATATTTTGAAAAGGACTTTCACATTTTACTGAAGGTGTGAACCACATAATGAGCAAATTGTGGCCAGTGAATTGGCTTCCATTTTTGTTTAGTTAGTGTAGAACTAGGATTTCATGTCAAAGGTCATTTCCAGGAGCTGCAATAAATACTGTACAGAGTAGCTAGTCATTTAACACATTAATCTTTTATTGTCCAAGCTGTAGAAATATTGTACCATCCTTTAGATGTCTGGACACGCAGAGCGAGAATGTGCTTAAGACGGTGACAGCATTCATACTATGACTGAACCGTTCACGTTCCCTGTCCACGACTGTGGGACGCTGCTGTGCGCAATTGGCTGCTGCGTTTCACCCACAAAATATACAGTCATTTCACTTTGCAGGATATTCTGTGAAGCGCTTTGAGACGTCTTGGAAACGTGATAAGGCGCTATATCAAATGCAAGGATTATTATTATTAGTATTATTATTATTTTTATGTGAGTTATAAATGACTTGTTTATGAATTGAATAAACCCCTTAACCTGTCCTGCGTTCCATGTTTTGTATTTTGTAATAAATGTCTGATAGTGACTTCAGATTATGTGGAAACGTTGACACTGAAGGCAATTCAGCTTCATTATCACTTGTGCAGAGCGTCTGGTACCCGGGAGAAAGTTGACTCACTTTCCTCTCTCCATAGATGCTGCCTGACCTGCTGAGTGCTCCCAGCGACTTCTGTTTTTATTTCAGGTTTCCAGCCTCTGCAATATTTTGCCTTTTGTGATTTTATGATTGGAATTGCAGCCACTTGGGCAAAATACTGGAGGGCATCTTGCACTGTGAAACTTTACCCTCAGTAGAAGGGAAAATAGCTCAAAAACTCAGGTTAGGAGGGGACAGGGAGCGGGTGGGCCAAACACGACTTCAGCTTAGTTAAATGTTTTGGATTCAACTAACTTTAATGGCTTATTTTATTACCATTTCCTGGTACTCATTCCATCTCGTTGCTGCACCCTTCACATGGTACCAGACAATCTCCTATCTGTACTTTGCTTTGTTTGATCTGATGTAACATGTGGAGTCCTGTAGCTCAGTGGTTAGAGCACTCGCCTTGCAAGCGAGACACCTGGATTCAATTCTCAGCAGGGGGCAAGTTTCCTTACTCCACACACATAATAATAATCCCTCAAAAAAACAATAATAAATTGGTCATTTTCAATCTATGATTGTGGGACGCTGCTGTGCGCAATTGGCTGCTGCGTTTCACCCACAAATATACAGTCAATTCACTTTACAGTATATTGTGTGAAGTGCTTTGAGATGTCTAGAAGGCGTGAAAAGCGCTATATCAAATGCAAGGATTATTATTTATTATTAAAACATGGACCTGCATGTTTGTGTGAATTAATATCATTTTATCAAATTGGTCTCTCTGTGGGCAACCCTTTTTATGAGAATCTAAGATATACTTCCAGAACGAACCTTAAGGGGTAAGAAAAGGCCACATACCTAAAAATAGCCTCCATATGATGTCTGAACTGTTTCTCCCTCCAATCCCATTCAGTAGTATGTAGCGATTGATCACATTCAAGTACGTCTAAGACCTGAAGAAGGTAATTAATATTTTAAAAGTTAGGGATAATTGTTTGTATCTAAACGCAGAACCTTTAAAGTGTGAAAACGAATGCAGTGGTTTTTCAGTCGTCCCACAGTTAAAGAATCAACGAAAGCAGCCCTAACCCACACAGAATAGAAGCTACAGGTTCCATTCCTGAGTGGGCACCGGGCCAGTCCACAGCTCCCAGCTTCACATCCACTTCACCCCGGGCAGCTCAGACTTTCAGCAGCTCTGCCTCTACTCTCTGGATCTCCATCCCTTAGTCGCTTTGACTCGCCTCTTCCCTCGGCTCCTTCAAGGTCCAGCTAAAGGCCTTCCTTTTTGACCACACTTCGGCCATGTTTTTCCCTCCGATCCCCCTTGGACCTCTCCCCCAGCTCAGGTACAAACCCTAGACAGTCCAGCACCTTGGGACATCCTCTTGACATGAAAGCTGCTGTGTAAGTATAAATTTGCATTTGGAGCAGAATGTTACAATTGCCTCAATGCCCTGGGAAGGGACAATCACTCAAAGCTCCTGCTTCTGATCACTATTCCCTGCTGGTGAGTCTACCTTTCTACACGAGAACAGATCAGATTAAGTTCCCGTGATCAAATATGAAGAATGGATGAGGTACTGTCACTTAATAATAATCCTTGCATTTGATATAGCGCTTTTCACGTCGGGAGGACGTCCCAAAGTGCTTCACAGAACACACTGTAAAGTGAATTGACTGTATATTTGTGGGCGACAGCGGCAGCCAATTGTGCACAGCAATGTCCCACAAACAGTCGTAGATTGAAAATGACCAATTTATTATTGTTTTTGGTTTTGGAGGAATTATTATTAGGCTCTGTGTGGAGTAAGGAAACTTGCCCAAGGTTTCGCCCTCTGCCTGGAATTGAACTCAGGTCTCTCGCTTGCAAAGCGAGTGCTCTAACCACTGAGCTACAGGACTCCACAAAGTATCAAGCTGGACTGGTCAATACCCATGTTTTAATTTAATCTATTCTTATATTGTGGAGTCCTGTAGCTCAGTAGTTAGAGCACTCGCCTCACAAGCGGGAGGACCCGGTTCAATTCCGTAGCTGGCGAAACATTAGTCAAGTTTCCTTACTCCGCACACCTCTATTTACCCAGCAGTAAGTAGGAACCCGGTTGTTAGTCGATTGGTTTTCCGAGGATAATAATCCCTTCTCCCCAACGAATAAATCAATAAGTAATAATACTGTTTGTAGGACATTACTGTGTGCAATTGGCTGCAGCGTTTCGCCCACAAAATACACAGTCACTACACTTTACAGTATATTCTGTGAAGAACTTTGAGACATCTCGAAGAAGTGATAAAGTGCTGTATCAAATGCAAGGATTTTTTTATTATTATTATAATTATTATTCAGTAACAGGTTAACAACGCCCTCACATCGCTATTCTGAGCTCAGTGCCTATACATTTTGTGAGAGGATGTATAACACCGAGCTCGGAATAGCAATGTGTGGGCGGGTTGTTTTCAAACTGATTCCAAACAAAAAGCAAGCAAAGAGCACAAGCAAAGTCATCCAGAAATAACTGGGGAAAGCTTTAATAATATGCAGTCAGCTACTGAATGGGATATTTGCTCTATTTACAGTACAGGTCCTTGTCCAGATTTTTATATTCTTCATTATATGGCGCCTCAGCAAAACACATGGATGCCTCGCGATCACAATTGCAGACAGACATCTTACAGCCGTTATTCGTGCCTGAAGAAAAATGACACAGAGCCAGGAGTTACAATGCACCCAAACCACACAACGTCTGAATACACCTTGTGCTGGGAAATTTCACCTATCATTTTGGATCAAGGGCAAAGGTTAGGGCATTCAAACCTCCCTGCATGACTAAGGAAATTGGGATTAAAACAAAACAGAAAAACGAGGCTTATGATAAATGTCAGGGTCCAAAATACAGAAGATATTCAAATAGAATATAGACAGTACAGAGGAGAACTGAAAAAGGAAATAAGAGGGCAAAGAGACTGTGTGATAAAAGATTAGGGGGTAACATAAAAGGGAACCCTATGATATTTTGTAAGCATATAAAGAATAAAAGGTTAGACAAAGGTAAGGTGGGTCCAAATAGGGACCAAAGAGGAAATTTTGTGGAGGCAGCGGGCGTGGCTGATGTACTCAATGAGTACTTTGCATCTGTCTTCACAAAATCAGACGATGCAGCCAATATCGGAGGAGAGGGGAGAGAAATTGGATAAGGTAAGAATAAACCGAGAGGAGATACCGAAAAGATAGATAAGTCACCCGGTCTGGACGGGGATGCATCCTGAGGCAAGTAAGGTTGGAAATAAGGGGGGTTCTGGCTACAATCGTTCAATCCTCCCTGGACACCGGGGTGGTGCCAGAGGACTGGAGGGTTGCAAATGTGACTCCCCTATACAAAAAGGGGCAGAAGGATAAACCTGGGAGCTACAGGTCAGTCAGCCTGACGTCAATAGTGGGGAAACTTCTGGAGACTATAATCCGGGACAAAATAAATTTTCCCTTAGAAAAATATGGGTTAATAAAGGACAGTCAACATGGGTTTGTTAAAGGCAAATCGTATCTAACAAACCTGATAGTTTTTTGATGCAGTAACGGAGAGGGTGGATGAAGGCAGTGCAGTTGATGTAGTTTATATGGATTTTCAAAAGGCATTTGATAAAGTGCCACATAAGGGACTTGTAGGTAAATCGAAGCCCCGGTATTAAAGGGACAGTGGCAGCGGATACAGAACTGTCTGGGAGACAGAGAGCAGAGAGTGTGGGGAACGGTTGTTTTTCTGACTGGAGGGAAGTGCAGTGGTGACCCCCAGGGATCGGTATTGGGACCACTGCTGTTTTTCATCTATATAAATGACCTGGACTTGGGTATACGTATACAATTTCCAAGTTTGCAGATGATACTAAGCTCGAAAAAGTGGTAAACAGTGAGGAGGATAGTAAAAGACTACAAGAGGTCATAGACAGACTGGTAACACAAGCAGACACGTGGCAGATGAAGTTTAATGTGGATAAATGTGAAGTGATTCATTTTGGGAGGAAGAATGAGGAGAGGCAATATAAGCCGATGGTACAGTCGTAAAGGGGGTGAAGGAACAGAGAGACCTGGGGGTCATATAAGTAAAGTTTTGAAGGTGGTGGACAGGTAGATAAAGCTGTTAAAAAAGCATCTGAGATACTGGGCTTTATAAATAGAGGCATAGAATACACAAGTCAGGAAGTTATGATGAACCTTTATATAAAACCTGGTTAGGCCTCAGCGAGAGACTGTGTTCAGTTCTGGGCACCGCACTTTAGGAAGGATGGCAAGGCACTATTGATTGACCAGGATGGTACCAGGAATGAGGGACCTCAGTTATCAGGAGAGGCAGAGAAGCGACAATTATTCTCCTTGGAGCAGAGAAGGTTAAGAGGAGACTTAATCGAAGTTTTCAAAATTGTGAGGGATTCGATAGGGTGAACAGAGAGAAATTATTCCCACTGGCGGGTGGGTCAGTAACCCCAGGACACCGATTTAAAATAGTTTTTAAAAGAAGCAGAAGGGAGGGGAGGAGAAATGTTTTTTCACAGTGAGTTGTTGGGATCTGGAATGCATTGCCTGAAAGGCTGATGGGAGCCAATTCAATAATATCTTTTAAGAGAGAAGTAGATCATTATTTCAGGAGAACAAGTTTGCAGGGCTATGGGGAGAGAGCGGGGGAGTGGGGTTGATCAGGGCTATGGGGAGAGCGCGGGGGAGTGTGGTTGATCAGGGCTATGGGAGAGAGTGGGGGAGTGTGGTTGATCAGGGCTATGGGAGAGAGTGGGGGAGTGGGGTTGATTTGGAAGCTCTTTTCAAAGAGCCGACACAGACTCGATGGGCCGAATGGCCTCCTTCTGTGCTGTGTAATTCTATGACTCTATGATCACTCTGTGCTATCAGAGGGGGCTGCCTACGGAGTGTCTACACGTTCACGTTCCCTCGGGAGACAGACGGTGAGAGCAGAAAATGCTGTTTGCTTCCAGAACAAATTAGATAAATTTCTGCTAGAAAATAATATCTGGGGTTACAGTATATAGTTTGGGACACGACATGTCAAGCGACTGCCACGATGACTGCCAGCGATTTACATGTACTTCCACCAGCATAGTGTACTGTATTTGCTGCTCAAGATGTGGTCTCCTCTACATCGAGGGAGACCAAACGCAGTGATCGCTTTGCCGAACACCTCCGTTCTGTCTGCAAGTGCAATCCTGAGCTTCCGTCGCTTGTCATTTTAATTCTCCTTCCCGAACGAAATACAATGTAAGCTCAAAGAACAGCACGTCATCCACCTCCTGGGCACCTTACAGCCCTCTGGCCTCAACATTGATTTTAACCACTTCAGACCTTAAACATATCTCCTATCTTCTCTCAGCCTTGCCTCCTCCTCTCCCCTCTTCTATAACCATTCACACATCCTCGGGTCTTAGATCCATGTTTTCTTTCTATAATCTCCCACTATTGCCTTCTCTTGTCTTGAACCATCAACACCTCTGATCTCGTCATATTCTGTCCTCGACCTAAATGTTTCCTTTATCTTTCCCTGACCCCTTCTCTGCTCGTCCTTATAATCTTCTCCCTTCCAACATCCCCCAGTTTTGCCGAGAGGTCATCGACCCAGAAACATTAACAACAACAACAACAAGATTACATTTGTATAGCATATTAACTCACTTTCCTCTCTCCATAGATGCTGCCTGACCTGCTGCGTGTTTTTATTTTAGATGGACCTTGGTCTTCTTTCACCTCGCAAATTCTTATGTTCTCCATTGACAGGGGTGATAAATTCATCAGAGCACTAGTTTATTCATGCTGCAGTGATTGACACGAAACAGCATTGGCTGATGTGTGGGACTATAAGATGTCCAGCTGCCTTCATGGTCAGGAAATGGTCCATGAATATAGGACAACACCAAGAATACATCAAACCATAAATCTCTGATTAATACTAAAAATAAGGTCTGTAACATGAATCCCCAATTTCAAGAGTTATCTGCAAGCCTTTGTTTAACACATGAATAGAAATTTTATACACATTTGTCGATTTCCTATAAGACTGATTGTAAGCAAAGTGGTCTCCATTACTGGTCCCCGTATGTTTAGCCTTTTTTTTCCTGAGGGATATGGGCCAAGGGCGGGTAATTGGAGCTGAGGTACAATTCAGCCATGATCTTATAGAATGGTGCAACAGACTTGAGGGGCTGAATGGCCTACTCCTGTTAATATGCCTCTTTAGGCTTCAGCTGCCTGAGTTTCAACTGTGATTGTTGTCAGTGCCAAACATGGCCTGATGTTGGGCATGTGATTGGTTCTGGTCACAGAGTTGAGCTAAGATAAATCACATTAAAAATAGAAGAACATAAGAAATACTGGACGAGAAAAGACTAAGGTCCATCTAGTTCGCCTTCCACCTTCCTGGTGGTCGCATGCACATACGTCCCAAACTCCCTATATGTTATATCCCATAATGTTATTTCCTAAAAAAAAAACTATCTAATCTGTGTTTGAAGGAATCAACATTTCCTGTTTCAACCGTCTCCCTCGGGTGCCTGTTCCACAGGTTCACTATTCGCTCACTAAAATGGTGTTTCTATAGATTCATTCTGAATTTATCCCCTTCAATCAATGGTTGTGTATAAGAACATAAAGCCACATACATTGAAGTATGTGGTTATGTGGTTACCATGTAATCTGCGTCTGCCATCAGGAGAGCTTCAGACAGTCATAGGAACATAGGAAAACAGGAGCAGGAGGAGACCATTCAACCCATCAAGCCTGTTCCACTAGTTTAGCAGATCCCGGCAGATAATTTAATCCCCTTTCATCCACTATCTAGCTAACCTGTCAATTTCCTTTTATTATTTCAAATACATTACCTCAATCAAATTACCTCTTAACCTCCCCTGCTTTAGGGAATATAACCCCAGCCAACCCAGCCTCTCGTCCCTTTGCCCCGATATGATTCTAGTGCTCCTTGCTATGATTGGGTGAAAAAAAACTGATCACAGTAATAATGAGGTCAAGCAGCACTCTGTATAACTCTCTGTATAACTCCTTCCTTTTATAACCCTTCTATGTCCTGCCGATGAGCCAGACTGGTTGCTCAGTCATCAACAATGTTGTGGAGACCTGCGAAAACACTTGGCTCAGGAATTGAGCTACTAAGATGTCATAGAGCATTGACTCGATACCAACATTCTGCTGCCACACTGAGAGCCAGCTCACCTCCAAGAAAACCTCGCTTATCTTCCCAATCATGATCCAGTCAATGTGATGCTGTGCTCTGCAAAGGCTAACATATTCATTTATAGAATAGAATCATAGAATATTACAGCACAGAAGGAGGCCATTCGGCCCATCGTGCCTGTGAGGCTCTTTGGAAGAGCCACCCAATCAGACCCACTCCCCCGCTCTTTCCCCGTATCCTTGCAAATGTTTCCTTTTCAAGTATCTCTCCAATTCCCTTTCAGAAGTTGTTATTGAATCTGTTTCCATCAGACTTTCAAGCCGTGCGTGCCGGACCGTATGTACGTACTCGTGTCTGTGTGTGTGTGCGTCTGTCTGTCTGTGTGCGTGTGTGTGTCTTTGTGTGTGTGGGTCTGTGTGTGTGTGTGTGTGGGTGGGGGGGGTGTCTGTGTGCGCGTATCTGTGTGTGCATTTCTAACTTCTTTTGATTTGATGTTGAGCGTGTGGTACTGTTGGGCACTTACTGCTGCAGGTGATGCTGGTGCCAGAGCAGGTGAAGTCATACAGTGCGACGTACGGGTGATCTGTAATATCTGTGCACTCTGGGTGGGTTTTGGCTGCGTTGTAGCATAGATCGTGAGTCTGGCAGCAGCTACAAAAAGAGCAACAGAGCAGATCATTTCAACAACAAAAACAACTCGCATTTACACAGCGCCCTTCACGTGGGGCAGAGTCTGTGTGTGTGTGTGTCTGTGTTTGTGTGTACGAGTGTGTTTGTGTGTGTGTCTGACCCCGAGCCAGGGGGAGAGCGAGGGAGGGGGGGAGGTGACCATAAGCATGATCAAAAAGGAAGGTCTTTCGGCGGAATTTGAAAGTGGGGAGGGAAGGAGGGGGCATCTGTGTGAAAAGTTGAGTGACGCTTTGGGGTTTTAGTTGAATACATTTGAGCTGCCATTGTGTCTTGTGATGAAGAGCTGCCAATAAACTAATGATTGGTTTCAGCTGCAAGGATTGGCGATGGTGGCTGTACCATGTTGGCAGCTCATTCACATTGTATCGACGTTTTCACGGATCAAATTGAGAACTAGCAGAGCAGAGCTACGCTGAATTGATCGCGTCCTAATGTGCTGAGTCGTTACAAAAGCCAATCGTGGATTTCAGGGTTGAGTAAATTGCAGTGCTGGCTGTGTGTCAAAGCATTCAATGGTCGGATTATATTGCAACTTGACCCAATTACGTAGAATAAATCAACTTGAGCTCCCACAACTGATCACTATCCATTACACCAAATAAATAATAATAATTTGGTCCTGTTTGTGGGACGCTGCTGTGCGCAATTGGCTGCTGCGTTTTGCCCACAAGATATACAGTCAATTCACTTCACAGTGTATCCTGTGAAGCACTTTGAGACGTCTCGAAGACTTGATGAGGCGCTGTATCAAATGCAAGGGTTATTATTATTATTATTACATATTGAAAGAGCCACATCAGAGCAGGTGATCGCAGCAGGCAATTTGTGCATCGCTGTCCGCACAGCATAAAGAAAGTGTGTCAGTGGCTCGGTCCTTTGGATGAGATGTTAAACCAAGGTCCCTGTTAAGGTCTGTTAAGGTGTGCATTAAAGATCCCTTGGCACCATTCAAAAAGAGAAGGGAGTTTCTCCCATTATCCTGGTAACAGCGCTCCAGATAAAATTCCATTTGTGGTTGTTTGTAGAATATTGTGGTGTATTGTAGCAAATTGGCTGCCACGATCGGCAACAAATATACCATCAATATACTTTAAGTACTAATAATAATAATCCTTGATTTAATATAATGCCTTATCACGTCTTCCAGACGTCTCAAAGTGCTTCACAGGATAAACTGTAAAGTGAATTGAGATGTTTGACAACAAGGTAAGGCACTATAGCAAGAGCAGGGATTATTATTGTAAATTGCCTTACCTGTCCAGTTCATCAACAGGATTCCCAGACCCGCCAACTCCACAGAAGCAACCGTAATCATTGAAGTCCAGGATTGGAGAGCTCTCTGGAAGTGCACACTTAATCATTTCCCCGAATTGCCAGAGGGCACGAGGTCCAACATTGGCGTTGGCATTAGCGCCAGCTGTGCAGAAATATACAATGTATTAGAACAAAATATTTTCTAACATCTGCTGATAATTAATAATTGCTTATGTGAAGTTTTGAAATTTGGAATAAAAAGGGTGTCAGTCTGGCTCTGTGGGTAATACTCTCACCTCTGAGTCAGAAGGTTGTGGTTCAAGCCCCTACAAGTAGGGACTTGGAGCTCATGACTGTTTGTGAGCAATTGGCTGTCGCGTTTCACCCACAAATATACAGTCAATTCACTTTACAGTATATTCTGTGAAGCGCTTTGAGATGTCTCAAAGACGTGATAAGGCGCTGTATCAAATGCAAGGATTATTTTTGTTATTATTATAGTCACTTCAAAGTTGTGTTAGGGGAGCACTGGATTGTTCAAGGTCCTTCAGATGAGATGTTAATCTGAGTCTGCCAGTTCAGGTGGATATGAAATATCCCGGAGCACAACTTGTAAAGGAAAGGATTTCTCCCAGTGACCAAGCCAATTAGACATATTAATGGCTGTTTGTGGGACATTGCTGTGCACAAATTGGCTGCCATGTTTGGCAACAAATACACATTTCACATGTCCAGGACATTACAGTAAATCCGAGAAGCACTTTGAGACGTTTGAACGATATGATAAGGCACTGTATCGTATGTCAAATCCAAGAACTAATCATGACATTTGAGCTTTATCAAAGTTGCTGCTATGCTTGTGAATATATTCATAGAATCATAGAATCATAGAATTATACAGCACAGAAAGGAGGCCATTTGACCCATTGTGTCTGTGGCGACTCTTTGAAAAGAGCTATCCAATGCAACCCCACTCCCCCGCTCTCCCCCCATAGCCCTGCAAACTTGTCCTCCTCAAATAATTATCTACTTCTCTCTTAAAAGTTGTTATCGAATCGGCTCCCATCAGCCTTTCAGGCAAAACATTCCAGATCCCAACAACTCGCTGTGTGAAAACATTTCTCCTCACCTCCACTCTGTTTCTTTAACAACTATTTTAAATCGGTGTCCTCGGGTTACCGACCCACCCGCCAGTGGAATAATTTCTCCTTCTTCACCCTATCGAATCCCCTAACAATTTTGAAAACTTTGATTAAGTCTCCTCTTAACCTTCTCTGCTCCAAGGAGAATAACCCTCGCTTCTCTGACCTCTCCTGATAGCTGAGGTCCCTCATTCCTGGTACCATCCTGGTCAATCTCCTCTGCACCCTCTCCAATGCCTTGACATCCTTCCTATTCTTCGGTTTTTTTACCAGTAATAAAATATTAGTTTTACTCCTTTATGGGGTAATGGTTTGGGAATTGAAGGATAAGGAATGAGCAGTGATGGATTACAGTGTATAAAATAGAATGTTTAGCTACTTCCGGGTGACAATTTCTATGCATTAAGCAGTTTTTCTCTTTGAAAGCAACAGGAAGCAAAAGGGAAATGTACAATCATAGTTCCTGTTTGTGGGACACTGCTGTGCGCAATTGTCTGCCGAGTTTTGCCCTCAAAAATATACAGTCAATTTACTTTACATTATATTAAATGCAAGGATTATTATTATTATTGTTTTATTATTATAGTTCCAGGATCCCAACTACATTGATATCCTACCATTGGGATTGGAAATCTGAGCTATGATGACCAGAGCTGGAACTTACATTGGAGAAACAGTTGAGACACAGTGACAGTTGAATCTTCTACATTCCAACAGCATAGGCAAGATCACAAGATTAGCTTGGATGAAGAAGGCCCTTTGGCTCATCCAATGTCATCCCTCCATAACACCCACTCTATCATCCCCCCATCACTGCATCAAGATGTTTTTTAAATGAGTGCCAGTGTCCTTACCTCACCACTCTTGCTGACAATCTGTTCCCCAGTCATTAATTACCCTCTGGTAAAGGAAAGCTTCCTCGTGTCTGTCTCAAAATTCTCTTTTGCAATTCTAAACCTATGTCCCTTTATTCTGCTCTCTCGATCCATCCTAAACATTTTGCCCTGTCTGGGAATCAAACCCAGATCCTCTCGTTTGCGAGGCGAGTGCTCTAACCACTGAGCTACAGGACTCCGCATGGTATCATCACTGGGCTGTTCATTCAAAGAATATAGCATCATTCTTTCTGGTTATCATTAACCATCAGCGACATCCTACGTATCTAGGAAATTGTCCCAAATTGACAAACTATCTCCTCTGGTGGGGGAATCCACAACAAGGGGGCATAATCTTAAAATTAGAGCTAGGACATTTAAGAGTGAAATCAGGAGGCAATTTTTCACCCAAAGGGTAGTGGAAATCTTGAACTTTCTTCCCCAAAGAAGTGTGGTGCTGGATCCATTCACATTTTCAAAACGGAGATAGATAGATATTTGTTAGGTCAGGGTACTAAGGGATATGCGGCAAGGACGGGTAACTGGAGTTGAGGTACAGATCAGCCCTGATCTTTTAGGATGGCAGAACAGGCTCGAGGGGCTGAATGGCCTCCTCCTTTTTCTATGTTTCCATCCAATGTTAGAAAAAATGCACTCTGAACACTAAAGAACATTTTGAATTATCAGCAATAATCCTTTTCCCTCAACAGTGTTAGTAATAACTCTTGCTTACCTGCAAACAACACAACGAAGACCAAAGACCACATTTTCAATTCTCGTTGAGACTTCTTGTCTGTGCGATTCAGCGGAATAACTCCATCAAATTTATAATCTGGATTTTGTCCTTGAGAGCGAGGACTTGGCAAAGTCACCTTGTGCAGGTGGATCTTTTCTCAAATTAAGGGCAGAAATTTCAACCAAGATCTCAATAATAATCTCGCAAACTTTTGCAGAAGGACACAGTACTGAAGTGCACCAGAGAGTAAGATTCTCTGTAAAACAAGTCAATTTTGATGATTATTTTATATCTTTGAATATGCAGTTTGCATATCAGCGCTGGTTGCAAGTTTCAAGTCTCCTAAACACCCTGCACTCAGGCTCCGGCCTGCTCCATGTCCCCCACCCAGCCTGCCTGACCATCAGGGGTTGGGGCTTCAGCCGTACTGCCCCCACCCCTTAGAACTCCATCCCACAGTCCCTTCCCCTCGCCCCTTCCCTTGCCTCTTTCAAGGCCCATCTCAAGATCCTTTTCTTTGACTGCGCCTTCGGTCACCTGCCTACCCTTATTTTCCCTGCCCTCTACCCTTCCTGATCCCAAACCCCAGCTCAGGTCCAAATCCTTGACTGTCCAGCGCCTTGGGACATCTTCCCAACTTGAAAGGCGCTCTGTAAATGTCATTTGTTTTTGTTGGTGGTTTAAATAACATTTTTGCTTAATTTGTCTGTGCACATTCTAACCATGATTCTAAACATTGTAAATATGCTGTGGATTGTCGATTGGGCTCTGGGAAGCAGACCAGGGATAACCTGGGAGAGTTTATCAGTGGGACGGAAGATGGGAGACAAAGGGATAAACGTAAAATAGAAGGGTGAGGGGGTCAATAAGACTTTCTGGGGGGTTTTGAGGGTGCATCATCTCAGACCCAAAGGTAAGTGACCAAATCACAAGTATTTGATGTCTTGTGATCAGTTCCTGAGAAGGGTTTGAGGAGAGCACCTTGAGTGACAGAACCGGTGCAGTTAAGCACGACTCTAATTCCCTCTGACCTCACACCATTTAATCTGGAGCTTGGGGACTCTTCTCTGTAGACAGGTAATTAATGGGCAATCAATATAAACTCTCGCTGCACTGGAAACCAGATCTTTAAAACTGATGAGAAAAAAAAAGACAAATTTCCAATGACTAGAAGTGAGAAAAATCAATGAGGTTTGTGCTGTGTTAGCTGATTTCAGATGAGCAATTGCCCCAGAACTAGGAAGACCACATATCAGCCAGAAACTCTGCTGAACATATTAACCAATATAATCCTTACATTTGATAGAGCACCTTTCGTGCCCATATGTATCAACCGTTGCCTCTTTGAGGGGAGCTAAGAGGAAAAATTGGAGCATTATCATACCTGAGTGAACAGCTCCCCAGAGTGAGTCAATGAGTCTGGGGAAAAGGAGACAATAAGGAGGGGAAGAATGCAATCAATAACCATAGATATACCATTACATTACATCGACAAATTTTACAACAACATCGTGCACTGATATAGCGCCCCCCACACAGGATAGCATCTCAGAGCATAGTTTAACAGTGACAGAGTCTGTGTCTGAGCTGGGGGGAGTGGGGAGGTGGCCATAAGCACAGTCGAAGAGGAAAATTTTCAGGCGTGTTTTGAAAGAGGGGAGAGACGGGGCAAGGCGGAGGGATCAAGGGACAGAGGGAGGGAAGGGCCAGGGAGGGAAGGGATTTGAACACGAGAGTGAGGATCTTGAAGTCGATCTGTTCGGTGATGGGAAGCCAGTGGAGCCTGGGCCAGAACTGGTGAGATGTGGGTGTGGAGTTTGGTTCAGGTCAGTATGTGGGCGGCAGTGTTCTGAATGAGCTGATCCTGTGAATGGTGGAGCTGGGGAGACCGGCGAGGAGTGCGTTGGAGTAATCCAAGCGGGAGGTGACAAATACATACAAGGGTTTTGGCTGCATTTGGGGCAAGGTACAGTCGGAGGGGGCAATGTGGCGGAGGTGGAAAAAAGTGGTCCTGGTCAGGGACCAGATGTGGGGGAGGAAGGACAGCTGGGGGTCAAACCAGATACCTAGGTTGTGCACTGGTTCAGTGAGTTTGAGGGAGAGCCCAGGGAGGTTGAGGAGTTTAGATCCGCAGGAATGAAGATGTTGAAGGGAGCCAAGGAATATGGCTTCCGTCGTGTCCATATTCAACTGCAGGAAGTTTACGGTCATCCAGGCCCTCATACCTGTCAGACAATGTTCAGTGCAGAACATTGGCAGACCTGGAGTTGGTATTGGAGGAGGCAAAGTAGATTTGTGTGTCCTCTGCTTACATGTGGAAGTTTACCCCGTGTCTGTGGATGACATCACCAAGAGGGAACATATAGATAAGGAAAAGAAGATGCCAACGATGGAGCCCAGGGCAACCCCGCAGATGACCGGGCGGGGGCAAGAGGAGAAACCATTTGCTGAGATGAAATGGAGGCGGTTGGTTAAGTAGGACTTGAACCACTAAGGTGGATGAGGGAGGAGAGGTGGTGGATGAGGATGACGAGGTCGACTGTGTCGAATGCGGCAGAGAGATCCTGGAGGACGAGGAGGCAGAGGGAGCCCTGGTCACAGATAGAGAGGATGTCATTTGTAACTTTGACAAGCGCTGACTCTGTGCTATGGGCAATCAGGGCAGAAACCAGACTAAGGGTTCGAGGAGGGAGAGCTGTGACCGAAGTTGATCTGCAACAATGTGTTCCAGGACTTTGGCAAGGAAGGGGAGGTTGGAGATGGGACAGCAATGGGAGAGATTAGAGGGGTTTTTCAGGAAGGGTGTGATAGTAGCAGTTTTCAGGGGGAGTGGAACAGAGCCTGAGGTGAGAGACTGGTTGACCGTGTCGGCCAGCAGGGGGGAGAGAAGGGGGAGTTGAGTGACCAGCAGCTGGTGGGGAGGGGGTCGAGGCAGCAGGTGATGAACTTCATGCGGGTGATAGTGGTTGAGAGGGAGGAGGGAGAAATGGGGGCAAAGGAGTGTAAGGAGGGGGGAGTGGCAGGAGCCATGTCAGAGGGAGAAGGCCGTGTGGATGGTCTGGGTGGGGTGGAAGGGGACACGGGGCGGGGGGAGGATGATGCAGCCAAGCGGATGTTTTAAATTTTTGAGGACATCTTTGCACTTGACATTTGACATGAGAATAGAAGGGGCTTGAGGGGCTGCACGGAGGAGGTGATGGATGGTGGAAACAGTGTGTTTGGGTTGTTTTGGGAGTAAAAGCCGTTTGGGCCTGTGAAAGGGAGAGGCGGTGGTTGTGGAGGTGCTTGAGCCACAGCTGGTGGTGAATCGTGAGGTTGGATTTCTGCCATCTGGGGTTGAACATCTGGGTTTGTGTTTTGAGTTAGCGAAGATGACTGTTGTACCAGGGGGAGTGGGGGGTTTGGAAACAACCCTGGATTTCAGGGGGGCACGGAAATTGAAGGTTATGGAGAGATGGTCATTCAGCAGCTTGATGGCTGCATGAAGATCAACGTGGGTGGAGGCCCAGAGGAAGAGGAGGTTCAAGGAAGAGTTGACATTTGTGAGGGACTTGGGGGGAAGCTTTTTCCAGGGGTGGGAAAAATGGTGGAGGGTTTGGAAGAGGAGAGGGGGATGTGGGAGGAGAAGGAGATGAGGAAGTGGTCCGAGATGGCGTTGTCCGTGATTGACAGGTCAGAAATATCAAAGCCATGTGTGATGACGAGGAGGGAGGGCAATGAAATCCGAGGAGGTGGTGCAAGGGAAGTTTAGGCAGAGGTTGAAATCATCCATTATGAGCAGATGTTCAGTGCAGAGGGACAGGGATGAGAGGAGAGCGGAGATATCGGTGAGGAAGGAGCCAGGAGATTTGGTGGGGGCAGTAAACTAGGAGGATATTGAGGGAGCGAGAGGAGCAACAACAACAACAACAACAAGATTCCATTTATAGAGCGCCTTTCACGTCAGGAGGACGTCCCAAGGCGCTGCACAGTTGGGTCATGACCCGAGCAGGGGGGAAATGGTCAGGGTGAGGGGAGGGAAGGGAGGGAGAGAGGAGGGGGGAAATGGTCAGGGTGAGGGGAGGGAAGGGAGGGAGCGAGGAGGAGGAAGAGAGTCGAGAGGGGAGCTGAAGGCTCGGTCAAAGAGAAATGGTAGAGGGTGAGGTGCTCAAAGGAGGGTGAGGTGCTTTCAATTTGGTATAGCGTGGTGATGGGTTTCCACATGTGACTCCCGGCTGACCCCCCAAAAAAAGTATAGCGCCTTTCACATTACGAGGAGATTCCACAGCGCTTCACAGGATATACATTGAGATGTCTCAACGACATGATAAGGCGCTATATCAAATGCAAGGATTATTAGTTTTTTTCTAAAGTGCAGTGACTGTGTGTTTTGTGGGCAAACTTGTGATTCTAAAGCAAGCAAGAGACAGCCAGAACACCTGAGTATAAGTGCCACCTACATCTTTCTGCATAAGCAAGTACATCTTAAGAATTATTGTCTTTGCAGAAAGATATTCTTATTGAGATTAGAACTTTTTAAATAAATTGCCGGTAGGCTGTGTCTGGGAGCTAAAGGGGAGGAATTTTACCCAGAGAGTTGTTACGGACTGGAATGCCCTGCCTGAAAGGGTGGTGGAAACACATTTGATAATAGCTTTTCTAAAGGGAGTTAAGTAGGTACGTAAAATGGAAAAAATTGCAAGGCTAAGGGATAAGAGCGGGGAAGTGGGACTGATTGGGTAGCTCTTTGAAAGAGCCACACAGGCACGATGGGCCGAATGGCCTCCTTCTGTGCTATAAGATTCTATGATTCTAATTCAGTTGACGAGGAAGGTGCAGTGTTGACTTGCTGCCTTCCTATTTACTGTTCACTGTTAAAGCTGTCAAAATATGTTTGCTACTCAAACGCCACCAGAAGTAAAGCTGATGTTTGTACTTAAAAAAAATCTTAAAAAAGGTAACAGAAAGTTGGTTATCGTGAAGGGAAACATGTTAGAGACAAAATGGTTTCAGAGTATTTGTCAACTGTGGGAACAAATTCACCTGTAACAGCGAGTGGAAAGAATTTAGGAGCACAGGAAACTCATGGCCAATCTTTGTTTGTACAAAGAGGTCAACATCTGCCAGTTTTCAGAAAACTCCCTAAATTTTCCAACAGTGCCTTGAACTGCCGTAACGTAAAACTATCTTGTGTGGCCGACTGAGACTCTGAGAAGTAAAGAGAGAATAATAATAATAATTCTTTCATTTCATATAACGCCTTATCATGTCTTTGAGACATACAGTAAAGTGAATTGAATGTGGGCAAAAAGCGGCAGCCAATTGTGTACCATAGTGTCCCACAAACATTCGTAGAATGAGTGACCACATTTTTTTTAAGGGAAAAGTGATCCACCAATCGACTAACAACCAGGTTCCTACTTACTGCTTGGTGAACAGAGGCGTGTAGAGTAAGGAAACTTGTCCAACGTTTCACTCTGCCCCAGGAATCAAACCCAGGTCTCTCGCTTGCAATGCAAGTGCTCTAACCACTGAGCTACAGGACTCCAAAGTATGGGCTCATATTGTCCTAATGAATACAATTAATATAACTTGATATTGAAAAAGAACACACAATGAAGAACAAAGTGAAAAGAACAAAGAACAAAGAAGGGAGTTTCTCTCTCTCTCTCTCCCGGTGTCCTGGCTAACATTGCCCCAGATAAAATTGGTCACTCTCTCCACGACTGTTTGTGGGACGCTGCTGTGCGCAAATTGGCTGTCGCATCTTCACCCGCAAGATATACAGTCAATTCACTTTGCAGTATATCCTGTGAAGAACTTTGAGACGTCACGATGACGTGGTAAGGTACTATGTCAAATGTAAGGATTGTTATTATTATTAAATAGGAAAAAGAAAGCATCGTCAGAGCTTCTATGCTCAGCAGTTGCTTGTTTCAGAAGAAGTTGAACTTTAAGCTCAGTGTGTAGGAGTGACAACACTAACTTGGAGATGGTCCAAATCCAGCTGCGATTAGGTTTGAGTTTGCTTTCTGGGACCTGTCGCTTTCACGACTAAGTGAATTAGATGCCCCATCCCCCAGTGGATCCAATTCACAGTCCTCATCCTGACATTCAGATACTCAGCCCACACTAACTCTATGATTCTATTGCCAGGCCATTCCCTCCGCTCAGCAGACACTGACCCACTTCATGTCCCCGGTACTCCAACCAACCATCAGCCCTCAGCCACTCCGCTCCTACTCTACCAATCTCTATCCCTCTGCTCTATCCCCTCACTCCGCACCCCTTCAAAACCCACCTTAAGACTTTTCTCATCAACTATGCTTTTGGCCACCTTTCCTCCACCCCCCACCCACCCCCTGCCCACCCCCGCCCACACCCACCTAACCTGGGCTCTCTACATAAACGTGACAAATGCCATACAAATTCAAATTGTTGCTGTTCAGTGAATCCGCAGCGACTTGTAGAAGGAAAAAAAACACTTGAACAGGAATGAGAAATTGCAATTGAAGGATGATCCAAGTCATAAACATGGTCTTCTGTGGAGATGTGGATGTGGTTAAATATGCTGGAGATTAGCTAGATTGCCATTGATGATCTGTTTGTATTTATATAGAAATTCCTTTCGGAAATGAAACTGGCAGAGCAGACTCCATGATTGTTTGTGGAAAGAGTGGGTCTGACCTGCTAACTGGCCTTTCCTCAGTCAACACGTTTAAGTATCATAGAATATTACAGTACAGAAGGAGGCCATTCGGCCCATCATGCCTGTGTCGGCTCTTTGAAACAGCTACCCAATCAGCCCCCCCTCCCCCGCTCGCTCCCCATATCCCTGCAATTTTTTGCTTGTCAAGTATCTATCCAATTCCCTTCTGAAAGTTATTCTTTCTTGTATATTCTTCACAGTGGGACTTCACTGCAGTAAAGAAATACGAGGAAAGTTATCAAGAGATTGAGCTTTATTTTATTTCCACGTGAATATATTCTGTTTCTAGTTGCAGAATTTCTCTGTGTCCAGCCGTTTGTAGTCTTCGTTATACGGAGATTTCGCGAAGCACAAAGCTGCTTGTCGGTCACACTCACAGATAGCTTCTGCACAGGGGTCGTTATCGGCTGGAGAGAGCAAAGGGAAGAATCGGATATAAACCATTGCTTCAAACACAGGAAAGAAATGTTTTGTCCCTGACAATAATGCCCCGGGATCTTCAGCAACAACCCAAACAGGCAGACAGGGCCATCCCTGCTGAGGTACGCCACTTCCAAAAACATAGCACACCCTCCACACTGCACTGAGTGTCAGACTAGACTGTGAGCTCAAAGTCCAACGTGGGGCTTGGACTCACTCAGGGGTGAGAGTGCCACTGACTGAGTCCAGCTGACATCTTCCTTGAGCATTCGACCACTTCCACCCCTACTCTCCCTGCCCTCCACCCCTCCTGGTCCCAACCCCCTGCTTGGGTCCAAATCCTTGACTGTCCAGCGCCTTGGAACGTCCTCCCGATCTGAAAGGCGCTGTGTAAATGTCATTTGTTGTTGTTGGTAGTGGTGGTGAGCAGTCAAGGAACACTGTCAGGTTATTCACGACTAACCCACAGCTAACGTTTCCCTCATCCAGGGCACTGAGACCCATTGCCGGGCTGTGACTTGGCCGTTAACTTGGCTCAGAGCAATGACCAAACTTCCCAGGTTGGTTGTAGCTCAGTGTCAGGTGCATTTAGGAAAATAAACAGTGCAGTGGTAAGAGGAACAAAGCCCACGACCAAGGCTGCACTTTTCTTGTCGCACTCACTGCTTATACCAGGGTGACTGCTTCAGCTGTTTTTGTTGAGTATCTGACACATGAAGAAACCCATCGCTGTGCTTAAGAGTATGCAAACCAAGCTCAGGACATGGAAATCCCAGAGATACATTGTTGGAATGGAATGCGCACTCTCTCCCTGGAGGGACACATCCTGCTTACTTCTAAATCCAGAGAGTATTAGGTATAGGTTGGCAAGAGCCAAGGCATGGAGGGACCCCAGAGTGTATGTTGGGGTAACTGCTGGAGTCTAACCAGCTAAAACTGCATGACTTCTCATTGATATTGCTGTCCTGCAAGCTTTCCCACTGCTTGTCCAGCTAGGGGCACTCTATCTATTAGGGTTTTGGTTTGTAGGGTTAACAGGAGCTGAGTGGGATGAATCCCTGCCGCAGTGACTGGTCTGTCCTTCCTGCCAGTTCCTGCCGATGTGCTGTGCTGTCATCAGTAGTGCCGTGGAATACTGTGGACCCAACTGGCTCAGGAACCGGACTAGAGACCGTCACAGATAGCTGGTTCGATCCTGACATTTCGTTGCCAGGCATGTCACCTTGGAGCCAGTTCAGCTCGAAGGAGACCCCACTTAAGGAGTCTCCTTGGAGCTGAACTCAGCTAAGAGATGATGCACAGAGAACATAGCACAGCTAAATTAACAACAGTTTAAGGCAATGTTAAAACAAAAGGAGTTCTGACACTTACAGCTGCAAATGATCTTCTTGCCAGAACAAGAATAGCTGTAAATGGTTGTGTAAGGATTGTCACGGATCGGCCAGCATTCATCAATATCACCAACTTCCTCGTAGCAGTAATCGTGAACATGGCAGCATCTGCAGTGATAGAGAACAGGTCAGTCACCATCACTATAAGCCACTACGCCCCAAAACTCTGGAACATTTTACCTCTATCCCTCCGCCATCCCCTTCCTTCCCCATCTTCAGATCATGCCTGAAGACCTTCCTCTTCGATCGTGCCTACAGTCACGCTGCCCCACTCCCCCCGACTTGGCATCATGTTCCGCCACTGCCCAGCGCTCAAGGATGCTATCCTGCGTGAGGGGCACTATGTAAATACAAGTTGGTGTTGTAATCTCCAGTCCTCCAAAACATCCTGAGTTTAATTCCAGGCAGAGGGCCAAACCTTGGGCAAGTTTCTTTACTCCACACAGAGCCTAATAATAATCCCTCCAAAAAAACAAAAAAATAATAAAATTCGTCATTTTCAATCTACGACTGTTTGTGGGACATTGCTGTGCGCAATTGGCTGCCGCGTTCACCCACAAATATACAGTCAATTCACTTTACAGTATATTCTGTGAAGCGCTTTGAGACGTCTAGAAGACGTGAAAAGCGCTATATCAAATGCAAGGATTATTATTATTATTATTATACAACCCTCGAGTCGAAACCTGTGGAAGGCAGAGGCAGCTCCTGCTCCAGAAAACAACATTTGGTCTAATGTTGCAAAACCTTTTGAAGATATGCCTCAAAATGTGTTGGGAAACGTGTTTGAGTCCAGTTTCTCACATACGCACAACAGGATTGCTTTCGTGAATCTTAAAGACAATCCACTTGGGGATACAGACTCAATGTAATCAAAAGCATGTTTCGATACCAATTTTTCTCGGTGATAATTTTGTTTTGTTATATTCCCAAGTTGTCCTCTTCTCCAACAACAACAACAAGCAAAATCAGATACATTACCTGTCCAAGTCATCCACTGGTGTCCCATACCCTCCAAATCCACAGTAACAGCCATAATCACTGTAGTCCAGGAGAGGGCGGCTGGTAGGAAGAGCACATCTGATCATGTTACGGAACTGCCACACAGCATTGGGCCCAAAGTTTTCCCCGAGTGCACCTGCCACACATGGATTCTGTAAATACCGACTGCTAGATTTCTAACACATGTAAATAATAATAATAATATTATTTGCCGCTGTCAAACACTCTGGGACGCTACCCTGTGCGAGGGGTGCATATAAATGCCGGTTGTTGTCTCCTAGCAAAATTCTTATGTTCTTAATAATCCTTACATTTGATACAGCGCCTTATCACGTCTTCGAGACGTCTCAAAGCGCTTCACAGAATATATTGTAAAGTGTAGTGACTGTGTGTTTTGTGGGTGAAACGCGGCAGCCAATTTCGCACAGCATCGTCCCACAAACAGTCGTGGATTGAGCGACCAAATTATTATCATTATTTATTATAAACACACAGGGAGCAAATAACGTTAAATGTCTCTTTGAGGAGACATATACGTACCTATTGCAGTTTCCTTGTAATATAATGTTTTGTTGGCGAACAATAATTATCATTAACATACGATTCAGTAATTCAGCAATTCACCTAAGGTGTCAAAAATGTAACTGCAAATTGTTGTTTTATACCGGATTTCACAAAATATAGTCAATTCACTTTACAGTATATTCTGTGAAGCGCTTTGAGATAATAAGGCGCTATATCAAATGCAAGGATTACTGTAAGGATCATAGATTCCACAACATTACATTTTTAATATATACAATATAAAATATATACATTCTGTATTTTCAGATTCAAAAATGTGACTTTTCACAGACTTTAGGCATCAACAGTGAGTGAGATCCAACGATTGCAGCACTAAACTCCAGGGTCATCTCAGGTCTGTATTGTTGCTGGCCAGTGGCAGTCATGTGCAACTGGCCTCAGTGATTGCGCTTGGCGTTTGCGGAGGGGAGTGAGGGACATGGAGGGGTCTATGAGCTTGTGACACTGAGTCGGGGAGAGGGGGGGAGGTGACCTTAAGTATTGACAAAGAGGAAAGTCTTCAGCTATTGATCTAAAGTTGGGTAAAGAGGGAGCAAGGCGATGGGATTGAGGCAGAGAGTTCCAGACTTTTGGGGTGTAGCGGCAGAAAGTACGGTCACCAATGGTGGAGGTGGAGGGGACGAGGGACGTGCAGAGAGCTAGAGCCATGTGAGCAAAGAGAATGGGTAGAGGAGTGGGGAGTGAACAGGTTTGAGAAGTAGTGGAGGTGCTCGGGCAATGTTTCGTAATGAAATATGTCTTCATTTATGGCATAAATCAAGGGCTATTTTGTTATTGCAATGGTTATTTTGTCGGCCAACCTTAAAGGTTGGTTTGATGCTTGCACCCAGGCTACATGCCTGGAGTTTGGAGTCCTGTAGCTCAGTGGTTAGAGCACTCGCTTTGCAAGTGAGAGACCTGAGTTCAATTCCAGGCAGAGGGCGAAACCTTGGGCAAGTTTCCTTACTCCACACAGAGCCTAATAATAATCCCTCCAAAACCAAAAACAATAATAAATTGGTCATTTTCAATCTACGACTGTTTGTGGGACATTGCTGTGTGCAATTGGCTGCCGCGTTCGCCCACAAATATACAGTCAATTCACTTTACAGTATATTCTGTGAAGTGCTTTGGGACGTCCTCCTGACGTGAAAAGCACTATATCAAATGTAAGGATTATTATTATTATGCCAACAGGAGATGGGAACTTCAGGAGAAGGGAGAAAATTGGGAAACCATTTTTAGTTGAACAAACCCAGGATCGAAATGAAAGGCACCTGCTTAGCCCTTGTTTGCAGTTATTGTTTTACCTTTTTTTTAACATCAACATTCAAACAGTAGCGAAAGTTTAAATCTATTGGAATGTTTTGGACCACGCACGTGTAATAATCCCTTCAAAATTAAAAAATAATAATAAATTGGTCACTTAATCTACGACTGTTTGTGGGACGCTGCTGTGCCCGATTGGCTGCCGCGTTTCGCCCACAAAACATACAGTCAATTCACTTTACAGTATATTCTGTGCAGCGATTTGAGACGTCTAGAAGACGTGATAAGGCGCTATATCAAATGCAAGGATTATTATTATTATTATTATTATTCCTTACCAGCAAACAGAAGTGCAAGAACTAGGCAGTTCATGTTCCCTCTCGAAACAACGTGTGCAGTGATGACCCCAAGGCTTTGAGTGGGAACGTGGATCAAGTCGCTTTGAACTTTATACCAAAATATTGACCTTCAAATTTTAGGAGACCCAAGGTAACTCAGTCAATAGCAGGACAAACTCATCAAAACCTTGTTAACCAGCTCTGGACAAACATTACTGTTGGTGAATTGCAAGCTGTTAGCAGATGTTCAAAGGATACTGGTGCTTTCAGACTGTTGATGAAATGAAATTACCTTGGTCTTATCTGATAATGGTCGTTCTGATGTGACTCCCACAAAAATATACAGTCAATTCACTTCACAGTATACTCTGTGAAGCGCTTTGAGACGTCTCGAAGACATGATACGGCGCTATATCAAATGCAAAATTTATTATTATTATAGGTTGCTCCTGTCTACAGTAAATCGTCAAGTATAGATGTGTAACTATAACTATAACTGCTCAGATTCCTGCTTCGCACCTTCTCTAGAGAGTGTGAGTGTTCTCTGATGCCCATCCCTGCATCTTGGGACGTCTTCCTGACGTGAAAGACACTATACAAATGTAATTTGTTGTTATCTGGACTGTCAGGTTCAACCAGGAGTGAGTTTCTCACTAGTTGCAAAAACACTGAGGTGTGAAACACTGGTTTCCTGGGGTGAATTGTTGGCCTTGTGGTGAAGGTCAGGGTTAGGATGAGACACAGCCTGTAGTGTATAAGGCTGTGTTGGGTCACACACTGCAAAGCTCTTTCTGCTAAACTTGGCAAACGAATAGCTGAGGGCATTGGCTTAAAGTTATCACATCAGTGTTCACACAGGTAATGGGTTCACACATCAAGGAGTCTTCAGCAAGTGTGAAGTTGCTCTTAGCTTCAAAGTACGCACTGGTGTAAGCAGGGGTAGGTTCAGCAAGGACATAACTGCATGTACATGAAATAATAATAATAATCCTTGCATTTGATATAGCAATTTATCACGTCTTCTCTATTATGGAGTCTACATAGAATTAGTAGGTGGCTATTCCACTTAGTCACCTTCAAAAATGTTGATGATCTTTCAGTGTTATAAAAGATGTAACATTATGTGCAGCAGATAGTGACATCATGTTCTATTTAATGCGGAGATATTGCTGCAGAATTTCTGTTCTTGAAAATGTGCAGATCCACCAACCTTCCCTGGTGCTTACAGTGTCAATTTTCCTGAAGTGTGAACTCACATTTGTGCATCCAAGACCTTTCTGCCCTACCTTAATTGGGTAGCAGAGAGGTAAGCAGCTCCTGTCGAATTTCCTCTCAATGGTGATATTGAAGATGGTAATAATGTTCTCACACATTTCATTTCACAAGTAGTCCATAAGCAGATCCTGGGACTCTATCCACTATTCACTCAAATCTTGGCTTGTGTGATGTCTAATGACCAGTTAGTGACTGTCCTCCTTGGGGGGGATTGGTTACCGGGGCCTGATTGGCTGAACTGATCACAAGTTAATGTGCCTTGACTTGGAATTTCAAATTAAATCAATCTGATAGAGTGGTCTGGGTGGTCCTGTTCCTGAGCCAGGCGGGTGCCCAGTACTCCAAGGTACAGATGATGACAGACTGGCCAGTCTGGCTTGTTGAGAGTCAAGCTCCTGTTAACCCTGCAAGCCAAAGCGTTTACGGGTAGTGAGGTCCTATCTGCATAAGTAGCAGGAGGCTTGCAATGACAAGCTTCGCAGTTTACAATGGATAGCCGTAGCACGCACACCGAAGCCCTCAAACCTTAGCTTTTGGCAACCTGTCCTGAATACTTTCCTGGATCAGGTGAGCACAGTGTTTTCCTCTGGGCAGAGAGTGCCCACTCCTCCCTCAACAAATAAACATCTCCATGGATGTTTGGAACTTGATCGTTTGGTTTGGATACTTAAACTCGATGATGGCTTTCCTCCAGTGCCAGTCACTGACCAAAAAACCTCCTATTGTAAGTATTTGGACCACAAGAGGGCAATACAGGACTGACTCACTGTGCAGCACAGATAGATAGTTGTGCACTTCCCTCTAGTGGTATATTTAAGAACTTATCACATGAAGGATACACTTGTAAGGCTATGGGGAAAGAGTGGGGGAATGGGATTGGGTGGGCAGCTCTTCCAAAGAGCCGGCACCAGCACAATTTCCGGGGGTAATAATTTCTTCAAAAATAAATAAATAATAATAATACATTGGTCGCTCAATCAACGACTGTTTGTGGGATTATTATTATTATGATTCTATGAAAACGGGGGAGGAGGGGCTGGGATTCACAATTACTACCCTGAGCTCATATTTCACCCAGAATAAAATGCACTTCATACACTCCTTCTTCACTGCTGGAGCGAGTTGCCAAATTGCAGAGATTTGGACTGAGAAACCAAGCCCAGCGTAACCTATAAACCTATTTTTTTAAAAGGTAAACTTCAACGGAATTTGCTTAGGTGGGACTCCTTACACTCCCTCCACAGGCTGCAGATCATCCAGAACTCTGCAGCCCATGTCTTCTCCCGCACCGGGCTCCGCGACCTTATCACCCTCATCCTCACCCGACTCTACTGGCTTCCCATCAAACAGTTCAAGATCCTGGTCCTCCCCTTCAAAGCCCTCCAAGGTCTTGCTCCCCCCTACCTCTGCGACCTCCTAACCCCCTACTATCCTGTTCGCTCCCTCCGCTCAGCGGGCTTCTGCCTGCTTCACGTTCCCCACTATTGGCGGTCGACCCTTCCGCCACTCTGCCCCACCCTCTGGAACTCCATCCCGCAGTCCCTCCACCTCGACCCCTCCCTCGCCACCTTCAAGACCCATCTCAAGACCCTCCTCTTCGACTGTGCTTTCAATCTCCCTGCTTCCCTTCCTGCCCTCCGCCCTCCCCAACCCTGACCTCCAGCTCGGGTCCATAACTCTTGTCTGTCCAGAGCCTTGGGACGTCCTCCCGACATGACAGGCGCTATACAAATATAATTTTGTTGTTGTTGTTCCTCGGCTGCAGCTGGTGGTATAAAGTTGAATGTGAACAAGACTGGGGCCCTCCTGATTGGATCGCGCCAGCGCCTCTGCACCTCAGGCTCTGACAGCATCAACCTCCATGGTTGCTCACTACAACTCACCAGCCAGTCAGGAACCTGGGGGTCTTGTTCGACCCTCAACTGTCTTTTCTTCCCCACATCCAAGCCATGACCTGCTCTGCCTTCCCTCACCTCCGTAACATCACCCGACTCCGCCACTACCTCACCCCTCAGGCGCTGAAACTCTTGTTCATGCCTTCATCACCTCCAGGCTCGACTACGCACACGTCCTGTTTGTCGGCCTTCCCAACTCCTCCCTCCACAGCTGCAGATAATCCAGAACTCTGCAGCCCGTGTCCTCTCCCACACCAAACTCCATGACCCCATCTCCCCCCTCTCACCCAACTCCATTGGCTCCCTATCCTTCAGAGGATCCAGTTCAAGATCCTGGTCCTCAC